ATAGTGACCAAGTGATAACTTTGAAAAAATAATAATTAAAATATATTCTTTTGTGTTCAATTATTCACTTAGTAAATTGAAATAAAAAAGAAGTAAATAAATTTTATATAACTGAAACAATGCACCAGCATTGTCAATATTTAATCATTTTTATAATATTCCACATTTAAGCTTTAGTTAATCTAAACTCTAATTTATGTTACATTTTTGATTATGTATTAAATTAAATTATTATATTATAATAATCGACATAATTTGTCCTCACCTGAAGTTATTGTTATTTTATTCAAATTTTTTGTTTTGTAGTTCGAATTGTTATGTCAAAAGTTTGACAGTTAATTTGTAAATAATAAAATGAAGTAAGAAACTTTAACCCCAATTTAAAAAACTCAATAAAGAGGTACAGTTGCAATTTTTTAAAATAATTTATTTTTCTATGAATTATTTATTTTTGTATTTAAATAATTGAATTCTGATAAGAATTGATTTAAAAAAGAAGTTTTTAAATATCAATCTTTGAAATTCTAATTACTGTAAAAGTATCATAATATTTAAATAGAAAAAATTATTAATTTGTTAGCTTCCTTAAAAATTAAAAGTTTTGAATAATATTATTCAAAAATTCTAAAAAAAATAATCGAATTTTGTAAAACTTGCAGTTTAAATTTTCATAAAAAATTTTTCCAATAGTTTTACATTGAAAGTATTTTGAAATTTGAAGCAAATAAAGAACATTAAGTATGCAAATATTTATTTTAGAAAAGATTTAATTTGGAAATTAGGTTTTTGAAAAATAGTAATTAAAATTTTTTCAAGATGTACTTGAATTCCCAAAAATAATTTTAAAAAATTGAATCAATCTCAAATTGTAATTTTGTAAAATTTTATATTTTAAAGAATTTTATTTTTTCATTTTTAAAAATTTATCCATAAATATAATTGTATTTTTGAAAATACATTATTTTATGGATTTGCAAAAATTATTCTATATAAAATAATTCAATTGTCGTCGTTGAATTTTGATAGCAATTGATTTAAAAAAAATTGCGCAGTTAAAATTTTTAAAAATTATTCAATATTTAAAGCGTTATAACAGGTATTTTAGAAATTAATTAAATTTTAAAAGGTTTTTAGATTAAATTCCTTGAAAATTTAAAGGAATCAAAAGTATAAAAATACTTAAATTTTTATTTTAAAAAATTATTAATTACATTAGCAAATATTAAGCACGCGGAAAGTGATATTCAATTTATTATTATTATGCAAATTACAAAATTATTTATTTTCAAATATGAATTTTTGAATAATTTCAGATTCAAACTTAAAAAAATTCAATTATTGATTAATTTACTAATTAATTATTTTTCTTAAGAATTCACGCAGGGTGGCCACATGTCAGTAAAGTCAAGGAAATGTCAGTGAAACAAAATTTTTGTCAGTAAAGTCAGGGAAATGACAGGGAAACAAATTTTTGTCAGGAAAATTAAGAAGATTGAGAATTTTTTTGACTTATTTTCAAATATTGCGACTTTTTCGACTTTTCTTCCAAACATTGCAACAAAATACAACAATTTTTAATACTTAAAAAAGTGCAACTTATTTTGATTTTTATAATGCGAAAAATAACTATAAACAAATCTTTTAAAAATTGTTTGTGAATCATTTTTTAACATAATTAAATTTATCAAATATTTCTATAATAAAAACCTTTTTGAGTAGTTGAAATTTTGTAAAATTTAATTCAAAATAATTAATTTATTTCAAGTATTTATTTACAATTTTTAAAAATCAATTTTTGAAGAATTTGAATTGCAAATTTTGAAAATAATTGAAATATCAAAAATTTTAATGAAAAATCTTTAAAAGTAAATTAAAAAATGAAAATTAATGAAAATTAGCTTCTAATTTTTTAAAATGCAATATTTTGAGTATTTTCAATTACATATTTCCGAAAATTCAAATACATACAAAAATAATAACATTTTGGAATTCTTTTTAACATTTTGGAGAAAACAATCAAGTTCTAAATTTTTAATTATAATTAAAAAAAAATTAATTAGTTTTTTAATTATACAAATTTCTTTTTAAGAAATTCAATTATTTTCGAAAAATTACATTAAAATATTTTAAAAAACTAATTATTAGAATTGTTTTATAATAACTTTTTAAGATTCAATTATCTTCGAACGATGTAAATAAAAATTTATGAAAATTTACTTTTTTGGACTTATTAAAATTTTTGAGAAATCATGGTCCTATTTATAATTTAAATTCTTGAAAAATTTGATCATTTTTATTTATATTTTTCAAAAATTCAATTGTTTTTAAAAGATTTTATCAAATTTTAATTTTTTGGAATTTTTTCAAAATTGAAAAATTTATATATTTATATAATTACAATTATTATAAAAAATTGAGTTTTTGTATTTAAATAATTGAATTCTAGAAGAACTTTTGGGAAATTATTTAAATTAATTGATTCAGAGATGAAGTTTAGTTGAAAATTGTAAAAAATAATTGAATTCAGGAAGGGTTATAATATTGTAATTTTGAGATATTATTAAAATTCATAAATTTTACCCATTTTCCATAAACATTCATATTTTCCTGTAAAAAGAATTTTGCCAGGGAAAGTAAATTTAATGTCAGTAAATTGTCAGGGAAATTGTTAAACTGCAACTTGTGACCACTCTGTAAGTTATTTTTACGTAAGATACAGTATTAAATTTTTTAAACGCCTTTTCAGATGAAATAAAGGTATTTTAAAAAAATGTTCTCTTTCATTGTACTTATAATTAGTGCCCGTAGTGTAAATTTGGTTAAAAATAATCATTTTTTACTTTCGAGAGTATTATCTAATTTAAAATTTAAACAACTTTTTTTAATTAATTTCCATAACTTTTCACTATGTTTTAATGATACTCTCTAAATCTGAATATGTGAAAATTCACATATTTGTACGTTATAAGTCGTCTTCTCGATCAATAAGTGTATATACACTTATAATAAGTGAAATTTCACTCAGAATAAGTGAAAAATTCACTTATTTATAAGTGTATATGCACTTATTGATCGAGAGGACGACTTATAACGTACAATAAGTGAAATTTCACATATTCAGATTTAGAGAGTATATAATTTAGAAACAGTGTTTAAACGAATTGACAATATTAAAATAGGAACAATAATAAACATCATGCTGAAGAAATTTCAACTAAAAAGAACATCAACACGATAACCCAGAAGCTTTCTGCTTGTGCCAAGTGAGTGATGGTCTAGTGCACAGTCAATCAAGTTGTGACTAGATCCACACTCATTAAGCACACTTCAGAAAAATCAACATATGAATTCATTCCTTTTTTTAAATATATAAAAATGGAAGGAATAACTGAAAGGTACCCAATATATTTAGGATAAATGAATGCTTATTTATTAAGTTATTAACATTTAAAGAACGAGCTAACATTTTCTTTAAGTCTAATTTTATTTCTGTGTTATATAAAATTCTAAGTTTTTCTTCGACAAAAATGTACAAATCTAGATTGAATTGAATATTTTAATAAACATTTCAATTTCTTCTGTTTGAATTGGCTTTCAATTGGTGAAAATTTTATTATATCTTATTGCAGCATCAATTTTACGGTTTTTAAGAAGTTGAACCTTTTCCCTCATAAATCTTTCTTTCTTGTTTCCCTGCTTTAGAATAATCATTTTTCAAATACTAGGTTTAAAATCTTTGAAATTTTCTATATTTCTAAACATAATCTTTAACCATATAGCACCTGTAAATTTAATTAAAATTGGATATATGCGATTTTCCGTTTTTTCCCCTAGCCTGAATAAATCATTTACTGCAAGTTCTAGTATTGGAATGTCAATTTTTTTAAAAACATCGGAAATAAGACTGCAAAACGGATTTCATATTCGTTTTCAAAGGTTTGGATTATCGGAAAAAACTCTAACTACTAAAAAATCACGTTGAACACTACTGTTGACACCAGGGTGGAAACGCCGAGTGAATACAGAAAACAATCGTTATACTTTAATGTTTAAAAATTAAATTCTTAAAAATTTTAGAGAGGGTTACCCCCCTCCCCTAAAATTTGGTGAAATAAATGCAACTGTAAATGCAAATGTAGAGAGAGAGTTAATTTATTTTATCAATTTCCATATAGTACTGCAACATTTGAACAATATTTTTTCAAATTTTCATGTAAGAATATTTAGAAGGCGCCTCCAAAAAGTTCTTTTGCACTGTACGCTGTAACTCGCAACAGAATCATGTGAAACAACAAAATCAAAATGCATTTGTTAGAGGAGGTGTTTCTTGAGGTTACCCTGGAGGATTTTTATTTTTCAATTTTTGTAGCACTTGGAAGCAAAAAACCTATTTTCTCTATGTAAAATATCAGCTATATATTGTTATTGTAAAATTAGTAATTTTTTTTAAATAAAAAAAGCTCTCAGGGATAGCTGAGAAATTATGTGAAGAAGTACTGTACTAAATTTCAGAACGATTGGTCCAGTAGATTTTGAGTTATGCGATTATTTAATAAGAACCATGCATTCTAAAGTCTGAACCAATGCACGCTAAAATACTCATAACTCTGTCAATTTTGATCAGATTGACTTGAAATTAACAATTTTTTTTAAAATGCAAAAAATTCAAATACTTACCCCATTTTAAAAAATGTAAACGAAACTTACAAAATTAAAACTTACTTTAATTCTAAATATTCATCTTAGATTTTTAAATATCTAAGAATATCTGTTTTCGATTATTGTTTTTTAGGAGACATTTTCATAGGCGAGTATGAATTTGGTGCACGTTTTATTTAAATCCGTGACTAGATACACACTCGTTTATGGCAGCTCATTTTGGAACACTTCATCTGCATTTATACTGTTAGAAGTGTTTCATGAAAAGTGTAATCATTATTTTCTAAATTAACGCAATAAACGTTTATTTACCTTTACTATATACAATGTAATTTTTTAAGCAGTCGAAGAGGCAAAGAAGTCCGATTTTTGGAAGTTCTGGACCTGACAACAAGGTTTTCGCTATAGAAACTTTTTCTCCGTAAGTACATTACACACTTTGAATACAATTTTTTCTAGAATTAAATGGATTTTGTAAAAAGCTACTGGTGAGGTCCACCAGTCGGCAGTTAATTCGCACATATCCAAAGAATTCGTGAATCGAGTTAGCCAATTCCTTCGGTAATTTGGGTTACTGATCGCTAATCTCGTGAGTCCCTCGAAGCACTGTCTGGGGTACCTTGAAAAATCCATTTTAGAAATTTTTTCTATTCAGTTCAGCGCATTCGAAAGAATTCCGCGAAAGACTTTGAAAGAGTTTTTGATAAGTAGCCCAAGAATCAGCCCCGGTAGCATAAATTATATTCATAATTCTCCCAACCACCAAATTTGCTGCATCAACTGCTCCATTTGCCGCCGGAAGAAATGAATCCGAACCTGAGAAAGAAATTCCCAGATAGGTGTACTGCTTTATAACCTTTATATTTTTTGTTTCCAGTTTTAATGATTTAAATTTGCTTGCAGATGCGTTTCCGGACCTAGTAAATATGACTACCTTAGTTTTTTCTGTGTTAACAATTAGACAGTTTTCACAACAATAACGGTCCGAAACCTCTTGCTTTCTGTTAACTTCAAGTGGAGAATCCGTGAGAAAAACAAAATCATCTGCATAACCCAAATCCATTATTTCACATTTGCTAGAAACCATAAAACCTCTACACTTATTATTTAAAAGTTATTCCGACAGATCGCAAATAAAGAGATTAAATAGGTAGGGACTTAATACTTCACCCTACAAGACATCAATCGAAACTCTAACATACTCTGTACACCCTTCAACCGTCTTAATACTTGTGTAAGCAGATGCATAAAAACTTTGAATGATTCTAATTAGTTTCGAGCTTAATCCCAACTTATGTAATTTTATCCTTAAAAGACCAGGATTTACAGATGGAAAATCTCCTTTAAAATCAATGAAAGTAGCATAGGCTACAGTTTTTGGTTTACTTAAACCGAAACAAAGTCAGGACGCTGTTGACACTTAAGATCAGGTTTAATAGACCACATTTCACCTTTATGCACTTGATTCGCGATGTCTGAAATATCCTTAAAACCATGAACCATGAAAGACTACTTCGTGTTCCATTTAATGTTTTTAATATTTTTTAATATTTCATTACTTACATGAATCATTTCAATTTGTATTTTACATAGAAGCACACCAAGTCGATACAATTCAAGGACTGGACCTGGGAAAGTTACGGTAATTTTTGGGGAAAAGCGTACATTATGGAAGATAAAAAAACAATTTAAAGTACCCATAAAATTAGCTGACTTTCAAGCCAATATGCCAACCGATGCTATGTACATGTTCGACGTGATTTCCGATGGTGCTATCCAACGGGCTGTTAGTTACATGAAATTAGGAAAGGAAATATGTAAAAGATGGGGAAAAATTAAAGAAAATAAACTGCTGTATACGCCAGATGTAAAAATAGTTTCGCAAACAAATTTTGTTACTTGGGGAAGGATTCGTTGCGACATGTACGGAAAATTAAATAAAGTATCCACAGAATTGGAAGGCATATGCTTTTATCGTGATGAAATTGGAGAAATGAGAATCAAGTCAAGCATTGTGCCTATTAATCTAAGCCAAGTTTCGGAATTCTCTGTTTTTCCGGGGCAAATAATAGCAGTAGAAGGCGTCAACATGTCAGGACACTTACTTGAAGTAAAGAGTGTTTTTTCTGGTGGTTATGCTGAACCTGCAGATGCCCCTAAGCTAGAGAATGACATTATAATAACGGTTGCTGCTGGACCGTTCACATCTATTGATAATTTGAATTATGAACCTCTTATGAATCTCTTGGAGCGGATAAAAGAGGAAGAGCCACATGTTCTTATTCTAATTGGACCATTTGTTGAATATACACATCCGCAGATTGATAATGTTTCTCAGTTTGGAACCCATCAAGATTTATTCGAAAAGATGATCAGTACCGTCATGGAAAGTTTAAGCGAGTAAGAATAAAATTTGTTATAAATTAAAACGTTTAATTAATGAATGAAATTTGGTACGCATATGCGTATTGGAATTATTCAAAAGAGCGCTTTACTCTAAATGCGCACCTTTATTGTATAAAATACTATTTTTATTTTATGTGGAAGAAAATGATACGTATTTTTTTGTACACAAATGTTCCAATTTTAAACTTTTTATTTTTATTTATTATAAGTAGTAATTTTGTAAATATCCGCGGACATCCAGTGAAAATGATTGTTATGTTATGAAATTATACGCCTTCCATACATAAAAAAATTTTATATTTTTATTAATTTGACATTATCTTTTAGGAAATGCACCCAAGTAGTAATTATTCCTTCGTCTCGAGATGCTCATCATGAAGCAATTTATCCTACACCGAGTTATTACTTACCTAGATCATTGCAAAATTCGAATTTACACTCTATGCCAGATCCGTGTGTTTTGGACATCGATGGGTTAACGATAGGAATTACTGCTGTTGATATTCTTAAACATCTTGGCAATGAGGAGTTGAGTTCGTAAGTATAAATTCAATTCAGAAATTTGTCAACTACAATTCTGAGATACATTTTGGACTGTCCAAAATATGGGCATATCTCTAGAACTTTTAAACTTTTAGGTATTGGAAAACTTAATTTTTCTTTTCAAGGCACATTCTTGAAATTAATTTTTTTGTGTTTTCTGCATTGATCAAATAGTAGAAAAAACCTTGCGATACTCATTTCTACACGTCGTTAACCCCCCTGTGTATGAGTTTAACCTCAAGAAAATGTTTCTAAATGTATAGATTTTTCATAAAGTTGAATTTTCACATCAATCGGTATCTTGGGGTTTTTGGGTAGCTGATTACGAATATGATGTTAATTTTTCAAAATTCAAAATGGCCGATCCAATATGGCGGACGAAATTTTAAAAAAATTAATGGATTTCCACAGCATTGGATATTCAGGGGTTTTTGGGGTCGCTGATTATGATTCTGTAGTCGGATTTCGAAAATTCCAAATGGCGGATCCAATATGGCAGATGAAAATTTAAAAAATAATTCAATTTGCACAGAAGTGGGTATGAAGGGATTTTTGGGTCGCTAATTATCATGAATCTGAATTTGGTTTTTTAAAAATTTTAAAAGTGGTTTCAAAATTTCATAAAAATTATTGATATTTTAAATACGGGTTTTAAAATATTTTGGGATTAATTATGATTAAAAAGCAATAGAAGTAAATAAATAAATAACCACGAGATATAATTATTTTAATATTCTAAAAAAATTTCTAGTTTTATTTTAAATTAAAAGTACAAACAGTATGAACAAAAAATGAATAACATTTAATTGAAAGTTTTACTTCCCTTTCTTTATCCATATTTAATATTATTTAAATAAAATACATAATATCTAATACATTCGGCAATCAAAACATTTTGACACATTAAAAATAATATTACCATGGAAACTTAGAAAAAAAGAAGTTTACAATTCTAAAAACAGAATAAAATTTAAATTTAAATAATTTAAATAAATAATTTAAAATTAAATTAAGCTTATAAAAATAAAATGAAATTTAAAATTGATTAATTCTTGTTATCTTTAAAATTCTTTAATACTGTTAAAATTTCCAAAATTTTAAGTCCTATTATCTATAAAAGTCTAGTGAAATTTTTTTAACAATTCTTGAATTACATTCAAATCATTATATAATAACGAGAAGTAAAAAAAATCATGAAAAAGATTTGATTTTTTAGAAATGTATTCACCATATTGGATTTTCTATTTAAAATTTTTTTTAAATTATTTCAAATTCGTAATCAGCAAAACAGGAAACTCTTAAATGTCAAGAGATATTAAAATCTGATAATTTTTCTAAAATTTCGTCCGCCATTTTGGATTCGCCATTTAAAATTTTTTTAACTAACTTCAGATTTGTAATCAGATGACCCCAGAAACCTATAAATAATAAACTTTAGGTCATTTCGGGTCGGGGAAGCGGGCGCAAAAGTTCTTTTACGCCCGCTTCGCTCGTGCCCTGAATGCCAATAATTTATCAGATTATGGTACTGCAAAATTATTTTTATAATTTTTAAAATATAATAATAAACGGAAACATAAAGTTTAAAAGTTCTAGAGATATGCCCATATATGTGAACATCTTACCGAATTATCGTTTTAAACAATATATAGAATCCAGGAATTGTATTAAAAAAAGTAGGTTCTATGTTTGTCTGCAAAATCTTGTTCGCGCATTACGGGAAAACAGCTTGACTGATTGAAGTGAAGCTTGTCAGTCTTTTAGGTATTAGTCTGACTTAAAATATTCTAAATTTATTTTATTTGTTATTAAAATATATTTTCTTACGAAGGTTTAATTAATACTACTACGACTACACCTTCACTCTAAATCATAGTTTAAAACGGTCCTTAAGATAAATACTGTTTTGATAAGTTAATAGAATTTAACTAAAATTAGTACCCAGACTCCATCCGGCGAGCGAATCCTATCGGCATAAAAAATCTTTACAATTCGCATAAGAGTCTGTGATTAACCCTCCGTCACACACATGGGAAAAAATGACGACTTTACACACGTTTAGAGGGAATCCCTCACCACATTGTAAAATAAGCAACATTACAACATAAACAAAGGAATCAACAAAAATTTAGTTTTAACACAAACTTACAAATATGTAGTAAATTATTCTAAATTATAAAATTAATAAAATTAATTTTCGGTCTCAAAAATAAAAATTAATTATACGAATGCACATCTTCGAAGGAATTCCACTTGACATGTAAAAATAATGTAACATTAACAAATAAGCAAAAAAATCATTAAACAATTTATTTTAATTATATTTATAATATAATTTTGTCATCAACCAACAGTGGAACAAAAAATGTTTTTAAAACTTGATTTTTTTATTTAACATAACCTCACTTTTTCGAGTTTTTTCTGGCTTTGAAGCTTCATAATTAAATATTAATTATGTTTAAACTAAATGTTTTCTTAGAAATGTGTTGAGGAGTAAATTTTCGAAAGGTATAGAAACTGATTATATTTTGCAATGAGGAAAACAAAAGTTATTTAAAAAATACTGAAACTGTAGAGGGAATCCCTCCCTAGGTGTGTGACGGAGGGTTAAGATTTGCGATGTTTTTAATTCGATGATCGTAGATTCGCTAATGTTATAGTTTTTAATAAATTCAAAGTAATTCGCAACTTCACCGGGACTCACATTTAATTCGACTTTAAGAGTTTTGTAATTTAATTTCCAGTGGTAGTACATAAATCGCTGATGTTGTTCGGCTAAAGTTTTACATATATTTTTGAAATTACGATAACTGTGACATAACATATATTGAAATAATTGTGCTTGGCTTCATATCCGAGATTGATTTCTTATCAACTTTGTTACTTCTCTTGAATTTATTTTAGATTTAAGATATAATTTTAAATGTAATTATATTACCGATATTTTATAAAGATAATAAATAGTTAACTCTTATTTTGTTACAGGAATTCAATTAAACTAAGTAAATTGCACCGTGTAGCCAATCATATTTTATCACAAGCTTGTTTCTACCCATTGTATCCACCGGCTGAAGAAGTAAACGTTGACACTAATCTTTGGAAGAATTACGCCTTTATGAAGAAACAACCTCATATTCTAATTTTACCATCTGATATGGGGAACTTTTGTAAAAATATAAATGATTGCGTAGTTTTAAATCCACAGCGATTGTGCAAGCATTCTTTTGCTAGGATGCACATTAGTTCTTCAGAAAACCAAAAGTGGGATCAAAGTCAAATTGCTTGTGAAATTTTAAAAGTATAAAATTATACTCGAGTATTTAATACTTATTTGAAACATAATCATTATTAAATAATAATTAAAAAAAAATTAAATAATTTTCACAGATCGGGTTATGCCCTACTAAAACGAATTTTATTCTTTGAGAACATAGCGACGACTTTCAGTTTTAAGTTTGTGACATAAAAATTTCTAATTCAAAAAAAGACATGACGTGAGTAAAGAACATATTATTTAATTGAGTCTCTTGTATGTAAGTAATTTGAATAATTCATTCCTTAATAAATTTCCTGCATTGAAATAATTAATTTCAACATACATTTATAAATGAAAAGATGTAACATTTGTATTGTTAACAACAACAACAAATTATTTAATCAGTTGGTAATACAACTTTAGGTTAAAACTAAGAAAATGTAAAATACTTCATGAATAATGGAGAGTACCTAAATAAATTTTAATCTGTATATTTCAACTCGGAGGCATCAATCCCTCGTTTTTGCTTTTACTACATGAACTACATTATCAGATCGTGGTAAACACTTAATAGTAAGTTTTTTATTTCGCTATTTTGCAGAAGGCAAATTTGGTTTGCGTAATAAAACCTTTTGACCCACGTAAAAAGGACATTTTTCATTTCTCCATTTAGTCCGATGATAAAGTGATTTTAAATATGTTGTCTGCAGGTCAACGTTTTCAAAAACATTCAAATAATTGTTGAGTCAGCTGACTGAGTTAATTGGTTAACTTTAAATTTTAAGGAGTTATGACACTTTAGAAGCCGAAAAAAATGTTTTTTGTGAATTTTTTCTTAAAGAAACTATGAAGCTAATGAAAATTATGATACGAAGACTTTATTGTACATTATTTCAAGGGGAAAAAAATATTAATAAGTTATGAGCGGAGTCCACTGTAGTTTTATTTGAAATAGGTAAAGTTTTTTCCGATGGAATATGGCAGCATCAGCCAGTAAGTATTGCCGCAAAAGAGATTTGAAACATGTAAGATGACAAGTTTACATGGACATCTTTACATTTTCATCCTTGTTTTTGTTATTGATTGTAATTTTTTATAAATATTTATGGAAACTTAATAATCTTGTTGTTGCTTTTTAGAGCGGCAAGTACTGGCTGAGTATAGACAAATATTGTTCATAAAGCTCATTGCCAACAGTGCTTTTTATTACATCATAAATTTCAAAGAAATGATAAAAAAAAATTTATAAGAATGTTTATAAATATAAATTTATTGAAAAAATTAATATTTTACTTCTCAGGTATTTATTTTTATTAAATTTAAGAATAATAATAATTTAACATAATTATCTAATTTTGTAAATAATAAATTATTTAAACAAATTATAATTATAAACAAAATTTTAATTTCAACAGTAATTTGGTTCTTATTAAAATAATATTATACTTCTTACTATGAATAAAAAATTATTTAAAAATCACCACTGGTAAAATGATAAATGCAATAAGTAAAGTTATATATAATTTAATAATTAGAAATTTAGTTTAATTTATTTTATTTCAATTTATTTTTCCCAACGTATTCTAACTTTTTCTCATCTTTGATTCAATAATTGTAAGTCTGAATTATATTATGATACTGTGAAATTAAAACTTTACTGCACACAGTGCGCGTCATTAGCATAGTGGTTAGAGCATTAGTCTATAAGTCCGTAGGTCGTAGGTTCGATTCCCCTCGTGCGCAATTTTGTTTATTTTCATAGGTTTGCGATATTTCTAGATTATAATCGTTAAGTAGTAAAATATGAATATCTAATGCACACTTACTGTAATTGCCTATTATTTAATTTTTAAAGTTATAAACAATTTTTTTCTACTTCATTTACTGTATCCATTGTTAGTCTCCATCTTTAATATACAATTTCATTAAGAAGAGGAATATTTTTTGAATATAATAACTCTTTATTAATATTATTTACCATTTTGTTGTTAAATTATTTATAATTATTAATTTACAGCTATAAATAACAATACGGTATTTATTGCGGCAATATTCTCAGCTAGCACTGGTCCAGTGCTGTGCCAACGCTGAATAACAGCACTGACAGGCAGTACTTCGACAGTTTAAATCCGCATAAAATCAAGATTACTTTTTTTAGGGTGTAGATACCCCCATTATCAGGACTAATGGATGCAGACACTTATATACGGATGATCAAAAAAATACGAAAAAAACGAATTTTCGATTTATAATTTTAGGTATACACTCAGATGCTTTAATGCTGTCCTTCCGGTTTGACGGAATTTTATAATAAGTCATATGATTTTTGTCAAAATGATTCTAGTTCATGACATGAATAAACATTCGTATGTCACGAACGAAGAATACCCTAGTAGAAATTTGTCATAGTATCTTTAAGGGCACTGGACAGTTCCACTGGAAAATTTCGAGGCACTTTACAGTTAAACTGGCTAAAAACTATAAAGTGATGTCACGCTAATTTCTTCAAGTTATTGTCCAGTCAAATTTTACAGTTTCTGATCATCAGTCCTGTAGAAAAACTATACAAAATAATTCACTTGGAAATGTCAAAACTTTCTTTATATTGACGTTACGTATTAAACACGTACAAATTTGAAAATATAACGTTAAATTTTTTTGTCAACAAATTAAATAAATTAAAATTTTACGAAACTATATTTTTACTGTTGGTGTATCTATTGTTCCGTATAATAAATGATTTATAATAAATTATCTGTAAAATTATTTTTAAATAACTACATAATTAAAAAAAAATATAAAAATTACTGATTCTTGAACACATGTCATTTTTTTACATTAAACAACATTCACTTTTTCCTTTAATTAAGCACAACACTGAAATAAATATTATTATTTTATCACACTACAAACTTATAAGTAAACCCTAATATGAAGAATTAATTCAGTTCAAACGAAAAATATCTAGCGGTTTCGGGGAGCGAACTCGGGTCACACTGGGACGAAATACCTAAACGCACGCTTTACGCATCACGGCCGTTCTAGTCGATGGACGATTCCGGAAAAATAAGAACCATACTCTACCGGCAGGTAAAGCAGTTCCCTTTTTCATCTTTTCTAGCTCAACTGGCGAATTACTGGACAGCTACTGCATAACACTCTAAAGTTGAACTTATTGATTATTACTGTATAGAAGTTCTGTCTGTCCAGTTATTCTCATGGTACTGTCTAGGCGTTCCGTGAAATTATGTTTCAAAGTTTGTCGTGGCGTTAGCGCTACCGTCAGTCCAGCAACTGAACAGTGTTGTGTAGACATTTTCCATAAATACATCAGAGTATACACTGAAAGAAATAATTCGCGGGTGTAACTAGAATTATGTCTATTTTTTCCGTAAGGAATTAGTAATAAATTGTTACTGTCTACTGTCATTAATTATAGACAGTTCTGTTATTCAGATCGGAGAGCTATACATATGTCAACGTCAATTCATCAATGTAAAACATAACCTCACTTTATTGGACCAATTCTAACTTTTTGTATGTAACAGGTTTGTTAAATTAATATTTATACATATAATAAGAGTATATAATCTTGAAAAGAAATTGTCTTCTGAATTTAAAAAATTAGTTATTTTAATTAACTCAATTAATTGAAGCGAATTTAAAAAAAATTTTTTTTTTCTAAAGGAATTGTCATTAAAAATAAATTTTGATTGAAAAGAAATTTTTATTATTAAATCAAAATTTTAATATTAAATAATTTAAAAAATTTGTTATTTAGTTGTCAACAGTAAAATAAAAGAACAAAATTAAAATTATAAAAACTATAAACTGTAAAACCAAAAGATTTATTTTATAGAAAATATTTCGAAAATGTCAATACACAACTGTTTAGTTACTGAAACTGGCGGTAGCGCTAACGCCACGACAAACTTTGGAACATCATTTCTCGGAACGCCTCGACAGTGCCATGAAAATAACTGTACAGGACTTCTATGCAGTAATAATCAAGTTCAACTTTATATTTTCTTTAACAGTGTTATGCAGTAGCTGTCTAGTAATTCGCCAGTTAAGCTAGATTAAACTTCCATGACTAAAACTGTACAGTAACTTGAATAAATCTAGTCATGCCACGACAAATTTCTACTAGGGATATTTGATAGAAATGACACGACTTTTCAAAATTCCGTCAAACCGGAAGGACATCATTACAGCACCTGAGTGTATTTATTTGCATAATTATGTATTTAAATAAGACTGAAACGAACTAAAACTCTTATAAAGTCAACCTTAATAAATGTTTAGTTAGAAATATTTTAAAAGATTTACATAAACATTTTCTTAAAATCATTAAAACGCATAAAAACGCAACGTTTCGTGTGAAAAATCAAAATTCACATACGTCACAAAGTTTCAGTACATTCGGACTGATTACATTTGAATGCTCGCTTTACTTTAATAGTTCAAATATTTCAGTAAAAATGTATGCAGAAGCTATCAAACTATAGGATCATTTTAAAGTTCAATAAACTTTGGAGTCAAATGGGCTAAGAAGTATTCAATTTAATCATAAAAATATGAAAATATAATTGGTTCTTTATAAAAAAAGAATAGGGCCCATTTTGTCGGTCCTTTGCAGAAGTATATTCCGTATTTTCCAAATTGAGGAGGGGGGGGGGATTTAAAACCTCTTGGTTTTTCATCTTTAAGGTGCCCTGGACTGGAAATAATTCTTATCTGAATAAATTTCCAGAAAAACCAGAGATATATCACCATCAATTGATATCCTAAGTATGGAAATTATAATTTTTAGAAAATTCGTGGTGTACTAAATGCTTATAAATATTTTAATATTACAGTAATAGTGCTGTAATATTACGCGCTACTTGGAAAGAGAGACACGTTATCCATATAAGTACAAGCCCATCTTGTAAAATTTACAATTTTTCAAGTTAATAACAAAGCCTTAATATTTTTATAGAAATTTATGTTAAGTTCTTAAAATGACCTTAAAGGTTAGAATTTTCAGTACCCTATACTAATACAAGTACAGAACTTTTGTTCGTGAGAAAAATCCAGTGCCGTAAAAAATTCTTATTTGAAACAATCTTTTATTATTTTCTCCTTCTTATATTACAAACCTTTTAAATATTTCTAGTGTTTGCTTGCAATTTCAGTATTTTGAAAAAGAATATACATTTTAAGAATAACTAAACTAATAAAAATTTTTAAAAATTTTTAAATGTTAAAATAACTTTTTAAATTTAAATTAGTAGATTACGTTAAAAAATATTTTAAAACAGTTAATAATTTTTAAATAATATATATATATATTAAGGGAGTGTTTTATTGATAAAGGAGAATTTCAACTGTTTGTAAAAAATAATGAAGAAATAATTCATCCCTGGGTTTACTGGGCGCGTTCAGATTTTTGTTCACTCACACGACGAAAAATGCGGCATTTGTTTATATGGATGAATGCTGCGCGCGCCTATTTCACTCGCCGGTTCGACTGGAACAAGACGCGTCGACATTCATTACCGTGCCGAAATTCTATACAATTCTGATTTCCAAAAGAAGTGAAGTGCAAGTAGTGGTCGAAATGGCAGGAGAGAAACGCAGCAACAATAGTGATGAAGTTGTACAATCAGAAACGACAATATTGCTTGACGTTGAAGGCACAACGACCAGCATAAGCTTCGTAAAGGTAACAAAGACCATGGCCGTGTACAGTTCATCGATAAAAGCCGGATTTTTTCGCAATTTACCGGCTTTTTTCTTTTACGAACGAAATTAATTTCCTCTTATTATTTTTCTTTTCTGGAAATAATTTTCAAATACCTTACTAACGTTTGAAAATTATCTTCCTACTAAAGATTGATTAAAATCTCGTTTATTCGGATTTCTACTCTTGTGCAAGTTAGAACAAGTATGCCGGCTCTCTTCTCTCGGTCGATTTCTGCAATTCGGGGTGTGAAATCGTCCACTATATTATTTTTTAATCAAAATCTTTAAATGTCTGTCTTTAAGAGTTCACAAGTGTGTGTATAACTAATTCTTTTATTTTAAATTTGGGAATTATTTTTTTTACAAATATTTTTTAAAAACATACTTTTTAAATAAAGTTAGTAAAAAAAATTAAATTAAAAAAAAAATATATTACACTAGTCAGTAGGTAGGTTAGGTTTTTTTAATAAGGAGAATCGTGAATAATCTAGTTTATCAAAAGTTAAAGAATTTAGTGCTTAATTATTTCAAATTTTTCTAAATAAAATAAACCGTTTTTCATAATTTTTAATTTTTATATGAAATTTAATATATGAATATTTGCAATATTTAAATTCAGTTTTAATTAATTTATCTCTTAAATTTAAATATTCTTAATGTAACTTTTGAACTTAAGAGAAAGAAATTCGTGTCTTGAATAAAAATTTTATATTTTTGCGTTTCTCAAGGTTAAAAGTGACCTTGATATTTTAACAAATAGACCTTTTTTCCGTTAGATCTGTCTTCGAATAAATTTGCATAGACGTCGTGGAAAGTAGTGTTCATTTCAAGCGGTAGCGGTTTGATAATCTTAAAGTATTTTAATTAACCCAATTTTTTATTTTAATATTACTAAAAAAATAATTTAATTTTTAAGAATAATTTTATATAATTATATTGAACAACATTCACCTTATTTAATTTATAAAAATCTTTTTTTTTATTAAAATATTAATGCATTACAGTTTGATTTATTATTTTCACTCTTATTAAAATAATTAATAATTTTTTAAAAAAGACAAGAGTAAGAAAGAATAAATAAGACTTTATTCTATTAAGGAGATCCCACAGTTGATTGATTTTTTACATTGAGCTTCAATGGAGAAAGCGCATCGACTGTGGGACCTCCTTAAGTGTCATAATTAATACCAAAAATCAAATTATTTTATGTTTAGGAAGAGCTTTTCCCTTATGTAAGAAATAATTTGAAAAAATATTTGGACGAAAATTGGGATAAAGAAGAGTTTAAAGCAGATTTGGAAAAGCTGAAAGATCAGGTAATTACCTTTACTTATAATTCATAGAAATTTTATATTTTAAGGTATATTAAGAAAAACTTAAAAACTTGTTAATTTATTAATTTATATTCATTCTTCCAGTATAACAATTGTCCATGTTCTATAAATTAGTTTTAATATTGAACTTATTTCAGGATTATAAAAATTGAATTTCACTCAATATGAATTTTTTTTATGGTTCTTAAAAAAGTAATTTGATATCTTTCATATTTTGTTGTAAAAAATATTACATAAACATGAGAAAGTTAAAATAAATTATTTTTAATGCAATTTAAAAGAATAACATTTAACATCATTCAACAAGGTGATTTTGAATCAATGGTACGTTGGAACAAAAACCTCTGCTCGATTTCTAACAATAAGTTTATACCTGAGGCATTTCATTTCAAACCATTCCACCGACAAAAAATCATCACAAGGAGAGCGATTTTCTAATAAATTTTATTATATAAAAATTTAATTATTTGTAACATATTATACACTGAATCGAAAGAAAATTTCATAAACTTTCTAGTGCTATTTTTATTTTTTAAAATTTCTCTCAATTTCGTAGAGTAATTCCTGTTTGAAAGTTTAAACTCTTAATATCTCAAAACACCCCCCCCCCGTCGATTTTTATCAAAATTACACTGAGAGACCTTTGGGACTGTAGCGGAACAACGTATGTGACAGCAGCTCCACTGTGGTTTTAATGCGCTGCGGTAAAATCTTGGGCGCGTGACAGTCCCAAATGTTGGTGAGAAGCTCACCGAAGTAGTGGGAATGCCGCCTTTGGTTTGCAGCTGCCTTTGGGACTATCACGCGCCCAAGATTTTACCGCAGCAACCCAAAAGTATAGTCCTGTAGCGTTCCTCCAAAATGGTCAGTAGCGGCCTATCGAAAGTCTGCTGCTGACCCAAAGGTCTCTCAGTGTATATAAAAATGAAGCTTAACTTTTCTGGTTTCCATTACCGTATAATATATTATGGACATTTAATAGGATTAATAGAAAAAAAAATTGTTTAAAAATTGTGTTTTTGAAAAATTTGACAAATGGTACAAAGTTGAATCCTAACTAACCTTCAACTTCGTACCATTTGTCAAATTTTTCAAAAACACATTTTTTAAACAATTTTTTTCTATTAATCCCATTAGATGTCCATAATATATTACACGGAAATGGAAACTGGAAAAGTTAAGCTTTATTTTCATATAATTTTGATAAAATTCGACGGGGGGGGGGGGGTGTGTTTTGAGATATTAAGAGTTTAAACTTTCAAACAGGAATTACTCTACGAGGGATGTCTTAAGAATTTATTCTCCTTTAATTTAAAACAAAGAACACTCAAATCGGTTAAAAACTGTAGTCTGTAGACAATTTTGAACAGTAAATTGTAAAAACTGTGACACTGTGTGGACGCGCAATAAAAAAACGTACCGCCCGCTTGAAAAAATGTAACTACTTCTCTCCTAATTGCGGCTCACGAAATTTGGAAACGGGTATTGAATCTTTATAAAATTCTCTTTCCAATAGAATTTGAACGAACTTTTTAAAACGTTGAGAACATTGTTTATTTTGTGCTGGTACACTTCACGTATTTTGACTCATTTACATTCAGAACATTTTTAACATGGTATTTTTGTGCGTTTCGCGTTGCGTCTTGCGTTACCTTTGCCATGTAGATACAACATTAAGCTGCATCTACATAGAGAAAAAAAGTGAGAAACGCGCGACGCAGACGCGAAAAATTGCCATGTATTTTTCTCGCGTTTCGCGTCACGCGTTTCTCACTTTTTTTCTCTATGTAGATACAGCTTTACATGTTCGGACGCTGTGTTTTACGTTGAGCAATGAGAGAGAAAGAAAGACATACTTCTATCCTTATTACACTCATTGCTCAAAGCAAAATACAGCTTTCGAACACAAGCATTAAAACACCGCCTGACGCGCGCATTGGTCAAGCTGATCAAGCCATGAATTTACTACTAAATAATTATTTTTAAGCAAATGTTAAATTAATCTACACGAATCACCGAATCATTAAAAGAACAACGAGTATATGTGGCATTCCACGTCAAGTGATCCGGGTCCAAAGAAATGTTTGGGATCAGGTTAAAGGTTTGCACAAACAGTAGTTCTATTAGATACAATTAGAAATACCAAATATATTTGATTTATTTAAACTTATGTAACAACTGGAGAGGGTAAAAGTTTAAATTAATAAATTAAAACTACCCGGCAAAAAGCGGAGAATTGAAAAGAATTCAAAAGTTGTATTCTTCTTAATAAGCAAATTTAATTCGGCGTTCTATTCCACGGGAACCATCAAAATTTCAGAAATATCTAATATTATTCTGAATTGACTTCACAAAAATATGAAACGCGCATTCAAAAAAATGACCACTCAAGATCTCACAAGAAAAATATGGTTGTCATCTACATAGTACCGACTCTCGTCTGATTAAGGATTTTGTCGATATCTTTTTTTATCTAATTGTTATAAACAATAATAAAATCAAATGTAAAAAAAATTGAAAAAATTGCAAGAATTCTTTTTTTCTGCGCCAAAATTTTTTATCGACAAAATCCTTCCTCCAACGAGAGTCAATACTATGTAGATGACAACCATATTTTGTTTCTTTGTTTTAGATCACCCAAGACGTGAGATTTCATGTACACTGTTTGTGCACCTAAAAAAGGACGGGCTTGCGCTTGAAGGAGTGTCACGACAGCAATTTTAAATATTTTTACTTAAAAATTTTTTTACAAATACTTGAATATATAATAAAAATGACGGTTTAATTTAATTTAATGTACCAGTCATATTTTGTTAGAAAAAAAAAATCGGCCTGTTTTTTCCCTTGTCACAGTAGACTTCCCCCTTAAAACTTGACGTTAAACATTGAACAGTTGAAAATTTATTTTAATAAGAGCATTTTATATTTTATCGTAAGCACTATTCGTTTTTAACCATATTTTCACTAGTTTTAATATTTCATTTTAATAATTTTGCACTGAAATTTCAATGAAATTCACACGAAAGTAAAGTGATGTAAAAGTGATGCTATTATAGCAGGAATTGTACTGCCATTAAAAAACCGCTATTTCATCATGAGTACATTGCAGTTTTAGCATTGTTTTAGTCACGCTATGGTGTTTCTCACTGCAAATAACACTGCCAAATTTGCATGAGTAAACTGCGCCACTTTGGCAGTTTTTTTCTCCCAGTGTATTATAAGACAATAACTAGAGCAGCTCCTACAGAGCTACTCGTCAAACATTCTATTCTTTTGAATTGACTACCCAAAATTGCTAACAGTCAATTCAAAAAATAGAACTCCACATTTTTTCAAAAACTTTCAATACCAATGAAAATTTTGCGTATTAAGAAAAATAGAAATAATAATTTGACAATAGAATCTCCTTTCTTCTCAACTTCTCAAAATTTACTTTTATGACCTAATGAGGATGCTAGAAACCATCGAAACGTTGTCAACATAAATATAAACATATGTGACGCGATATGAAGAAAGACGGCTAGTCTTGTTCGGCTTCTTAGGTCCCTTTCTTCATATCGCGTCACATATATTATAATTCGGTATAAAGGCCTTGTAAAATTTACATCAATAATAACAACTACTAATTAACTTTTTATAAAAACTTTACAATTTTTTATACCCGGTTCCACCAACCCTTAGTTATCAGGCCTGTTAGTTATAGGTTCGATTGACTGACAGTCCGCTAAAGTTAAAGGCGCTGTTAAGCTGACTTTAACCGCGTATGCGATCCACCAACATGTTATAGCCATGGTTAACCAATCTTATACTATGTTCGCAAGAACATTACTTTCTCTATTGTGATTGGTAAATTCTAACAATGGTTCTCTTGAAAAATTGAAACAGTTAAAAATAAAATTAGTTACTGTATCAAACTTCCGTCGATTATTTTAAAAATTACAATAAATTTTAATAGAATTTAGGCCAAATATTTAATGAAAAGGGTTTCTGATTTTAAAAAATCAAAACCAAATCTTACTTGCGTTTGCGAAGGCAAAAAATATGCCCCACTTTATTGTTTTTTTTCAGTCATTTTATTTGAAAGATTAAAAACGTTTTTTGCACCTTAAAATACAGTATGAAAACTACAAAAAGAAAAAATTGTTTCGTTTTTCAACTGTTATTTACGATTCGTAGATGACGCCTCAAATGGCGGTCTCAAATTCGTAAGAGTTTGCGGTGCCCACGATAGAGCCGCTCTTGACAGTCTACAATAAAAAAACAAAATTTATTTCTTAGTGGACGTATATGATGGAATTAAAAAAAACGAAAATGACATCCTTTTAAATTAAATGTTTAAAAAATGATGATTTTGATTTTCTAAACATTCACTTTAAAAAAACGCCATTTTCGTCTTTAAAAATTTTTTTTAACTTCATCATATACGTCCACTAGGTATTAAAAACGATTATAAATATAACTTAAATTTTTTTTTGAGCTTTGGTTGCGAAGCGTCTCATTATTTCTGAGAATATTAATAAAAGTAAATATTCTAAATTTAAATTAAATTTTTCTCGTAGGCAAATAAAGATGAGAAAGCTAAAATCGCAGGATTTCAACCAATTTCCGGTACATCACCCGAAGAGGAAAAAGAATCTCTTGTGAAGAATATCCTTTGGCAAATGGATGAAGATCGCAAAACTGGAGCATTAAAGCAACTTCAGGGTCATATATGGCGACAAGCTTTTGAATCTGGTGACATAAAGGGACAGTGCGTAATACTTTATATTTTACTAGCTAACATTGTATTAACCCATTAAGTACATGTTAATTAAATGTTTATTTATCTATCCCTAAAAATTTGTTTATCACATTCAGTTGATTTGATAGTTTTGAAAATATCAGCAAGCTTGCAGGAAACTGTAAGTTTCCTGCAAACTTACATGTTAACTGGATTTACTTAATTAAAAACCAACGTTTCACGAATTCATTAATTTACTTTTTGTATATTTTCCCATGCGATTCATGTAGATGTATTGGTTGTTTACAGTGTCTTTGATGATGTACCAAAAGCATTGGAATCCTGGACAAATGGTGGCAGAAAAATATACATTTATTCAAGCGGTAGTGTTGAAGCACAAAAATTGCTTTTCAGTCATTCAAGAGATAAGGACTTAACGAAGGTAATCTTTTCTCCTTTTCTTTTATTATAAGTTATTTACTATATGAGTACGAAAATAATAATTATTTTCGTATATTTTACGAACGTTTTACATGGAAAGAAAGTATTCTGAAAAAATATAAAACTTTAAGTTCAGTAATTCAGAATAACACGATTTTTTCAATAGAAATTCAAAATGAATTTTAATCTTTAAAGAAAAATCAAATGACAACCTGCTTAGTACATTTTAAAAACTCAGTAGAAGCTTCCGAACATATTCCCTTCCATTACTCACACGTTTCATCCATAATGGTCAACACAGATTCATGGAATCAAGTTTTTATTAAGAAATCTAAAGAGGAAAATAATGTTTGACATAAAATTTAATGGCGGTCGGATTAGAACCCACGACTCCTGGCAAAGAAATCCAGTGTTTCCTCTGATCTGAACAGATAAATAACTGTTAATTGACCCGTGCAGAAATTTTGGTAAGTCAGAAATCAGACCCTGATAGAGGAAAATATGTCCCCGGTCAGGTAATCCAATCCGTGCCACACTTGGGACGAAACGCCTAACCTGATCAGGGCCAGATAGGATGATCTCTAGTAGGACCCTGGTGTGGCCTTGATCTGGCATTTTTTAATATTTATTTCTAAAAATACCAAATTATTTATGAGTTTTAATAACAAAAAAATGTTTTCTTTTAAATACTAGTTTAAATATTTATTAATTTTAAACATACCTATACTATGAAAATTAAAACTAAAAAAATTAAACCTACACGGAGAGAAATCTGTTGCGAATAATGCATAGAGTAGAGGTTATGAATATAACATAGACACTTACTAGCGAAAAGTATAAGAGGTCCGCCTGAATATCAGTCGACTCCGCCTAATATTCAGGCGGACTCGAGCAATAAATAGGGCTCTCTGTTATGTACATAACCTCAAAAAAATTTATTTTAATTTTGAATATTATTACAGAATTATTCGTATTAATTTTAATTTCACATCAATTGTAAACAAAATAATTTTTTTAAATAAACTTCATACTTAAATGTTACATACAATAACTAATAATTTTTAAGATTTCAGCAAATAATAGAAAAACAATTAACTAAAAAACACTATGGAAATATAACATTTTTATTTCAATATTTAAATGTTGAGAAACATATAATTAACATTCTCAGGAAGTTTTGTATAAATGTTTATGTATGCAATAACAAGAAATATATCTTTCTTATTATCTAAAATAACAAGGCATGCTAGATATACACTACCGGTGGAAATTGTGCGACCGCTAACACCTCGAGCTATTAAAAAACACACCCGCATAGAAACAGTGATAACTCCGTCAAAAATGAATCTAGATGCTTTTTTTAAATTGCAATGGAAAGCTTATTAAATTTCCAATGAAATCACACTATTTTTATTTGTATTGCATAAATAGAAAGCGAGATATCATGTTATAAACACAAAAATATAATTTTTTAAATTTCTGACCCTGACTTTGACTCCTGGCAAAATTTAGAAAAGTTTATGAAAAAAATTGTTACTTTCACAGACTATTCCTTGTAATGTGAGCTTTAAATAGAGACCAAGAACAGCAAAAAATATTAACGAGTTCCCGAGATATTACAAAAAGAGTCGGACCGTACGAAGCAAAATTTTCAATCATCGTTTTCTCTATAAGGGGCCGTCTATAAATTACGTAAGACATTTAGGGGGAGGGGGGTCAGCAAGATCTTACGAACAAAAAAATTAATTAATTAATTTTTTTTTATCTTATCTTCGGTGCGTTTGTGAGAGGTAAAGCATGGCTTTGCTTCAAGGAGTAGTTTTCTCGTCCTTAGGATGGTAAAACTGCTGCCTGAAGTAAATGCATACTTTGCGTCTCAAAAACGCGCCGAGAAAACGTAAAATAAAAACTTTACAATTTCTCCTGCAACTAGTCGCTTCGGTTGAGATAATACTGGTTTCTGATTCAAAAATAACTGGCCTATTTTATCAGTTAAATTGTTAACTTCTGAAGCCTTCCCGTTAATAACTTTAGTAGGTGTAACATAAGATGTATAGTATTGAGTTCCGCATTTGAACGCAACTTGCAAAATGTTACACTGATAGGTAAGACCACTTGTTTCCAAATCGAAGAAAACAAAAGCAGGACTTACGTTCTTCTGTAATTTTTCTGGAAAATTTAAATTTGAGTTCCGGTACATCTGAATTGCTTTTGAATTATCTGTACACTGAGAGACCTTTGGGTCAGCAGCAGACTTTCGATAGACTGCTACTGCCCATTTTGGTGGAACGCTACAAGACTATATTTTTGGGTTGCTGCGGTACAATTTTGGGAGCGTGATAGTTCCAAAGGCAGCTGCAAACCAAAGGCGGCATCCCCACTACTTTGGTGAGCTGCTTACCCACATTTTGGACTGTCAGGCTCCCGAAAGTGTACCGCAGCGCACCAAAACCACAGTGGAGCTGCTGTCACATACGTTGTTCCGCTACAGTCCCAAAGGTCTCTCAGTGTAGTTACTGCACTTTGAGCTGTGCATTGATTTTTCAGATCTAGAGAAAGTGTTATATTGCTTTTATAGGTGTGCTGTTCTGTAGATTCTCTCTAAATAATGAAATGGGCAATTTTTTTGACTAACCGCACAATTTACTCGAGTATCTGCAGATTCAGATAAACTATGCAGATATTTTTAGGACACTTTCGGGTTATTGAATTATTTAAACTTTCGTTAGCTTGACTGCATGCTGCAGAGGCAAATCTTTCTGCATTTTCAGCAAGTTTATTGAATATGCGTTGCAAAGTTTCAAATAATTCAGGAGATTGGAAACCACCAGGAATAGCCGAGTGATCATAATTTTCCTTATCAACAGCATATTTGCACCAAATTCCACAGTTATCTTCGGTGCTAGTAACTTTATATAAAAGAAAAAAAAAATTGACAACTCCTTTTTTCGTATGGTTTGTATCATCAACCAACTTCAACATTATACTTTTTTTAAGTACTACTGTGTACCACAAGTCTTGCAGCTTCTTCAGCTTTCATGGCTTTAGAAGTTCAGGGTTGCTACAGAACCTGGAAAACCTGGAAAACCTGGAAAAGTCAGGGATTTTTTAAAAAAGGTCTGGAATACCTGGAAAAGTCAGGGATTTTTAAAAAAAAAGGTCTGGAATACCTGGAAATGTCATGGAAATTTGAAATGCCTGGAATTTTATTCCACTTAATATTTTTTACTACATTTTTTCTTTTAAAAAATGATGTCTTGGAATTCCTGAAAAATGTCCTGAAATATCCTTGAATTTTTCATATTTTGCTTTTAAATATTCAATAATTTAAAAATTTTACTCAAATTTAAAAAAATAATTTTTTTGATCCATCAAAAAATAATTTTAATTTGTCGTTTGATTAAAGAATCTGATATCTATATTATATAATATTGATTTTTAACTCTTTTTATAATAAAATTAATATTTTTGTTCAAGTAGGTTAATTTAAATTATGTTAATCGTAATATGAAATAATATTACACATGTAAATGTCCTGGAAAGATAAAAAATCTGTTCTGGAAATACACGCAACTGCGAACAGGATTCGCGATACTTCGCACCTAGTAAGTGAGTACCAGGACCTCGATCTATGATTTATTTATTTATTTATTTATGACATATACGGGTAACAATAAAGACCCTTCAATATTACAAGTAACTTAACCAAAATTACAGAGCCATAGATGCATATCAAACATTTTCAGTATAAAGCAATGAACGCAATTTAGTCACAAAAGATGTAACATTATTATGAAAGAAATCCAAATCATCCGAGTATAAGTTACCCTCAAAACAAAGTCTACTAAAAACAGAATTATTGCCATATTTCGTTCTATGAAATGATTGGAAAAATGGAGTAACATATCGCAAGCGTCGCACAGGAGCAGAGAAATTGATTAGTGACAATACTGAGGGACACATGATTAAACCATTAATTACCTTGAAAAGAAAAAGTAGGTCAACAAACAAAAATCTAGATTCAATCTTGGGAATTTTAAACTGAGTTCTTAAACTAATATAATCATGTATATAAAAATCAAAGGGAACATTAAGTTGTTTGGCTAAAAAACGCAGAAAACGATTCTGTACTCGTTCGAGTCTTAGAACGTGAACACTAGCAAATGGGAACCAAATTAACGAACAATATTCAATAACAGACCGAATTAAGGAAAAATAGAGTATTCTTAGTGTAGATAACTTATGGAAAACCTTGGAATTACGCATAACAAAACCCATTATTCTCAGTGATTTACTAACAACATAGGAAATGTGTGCGTCAAATGTTAAATCATAAGATAAGACAACACCAAGATCACGCACTTGATACACTCTAGATAGTATATTATTATTAATTGTATATATTATATATATTTTCGTGTTTATTTTTTTAGAAAAAGAAATAGAATAACATTTATTTATATTCAAAGGCATTCCATTCAGTTCGCACCAGCTGAGGAGAAAATCGAGGTCACTTTGTAATTTAACATAATCATCAAGACAATTAACCATACGATAAATCTTTAAGTCATCTGCAAACAATAAAAAATTGGAAAACTTAATTTTAAATTTAATGTCATTAATAAAAAATTATGATGATTGTATCAAGCATCGCCTCCCAATGTTCTTTCCTTTCCTCTGTGCTTGAAATTTACTTGCAGTAGAATGTATGAAAGGAAAACAATGTTACTTCTATAAGCAGTCCTGATTCAAGCGTCCTATCACTAAATAGTCGAAGTTACATTTTGAAGTGAAAAATTCACAAATATCTAAGGTAGCTGTTAAGGAAATAAGCATTCCATAGAAACAATTACTTGTTTGGAATTCATTCTTAGTTTCCTTAGCTTTTTCTTCCCATTATTCAAGATATTTGATGAAGTTTGTAACAACCTGTTAAAAAACATAATTTAAATATGTTTTCATAGTTAATTACATTAAAGAAATTTAATATAATAATATACTACTCACATTCCAAGACTAAAATAATAATACATATATGTATGTAAATTCGTTTTACGTTATAAGATTTACCTATTTAAGATGAAGGTAGTGCTTAATGTTAAAATCGTCTCAAAGTAATATTTCTTTTCAGTTCTTAAGTGGCTACTTCGACACAGAAGTAGGAATAAAAAATGAAGTTGACAGCTACAGAAATATACTAAACAAGATAAACGTTCCTGCTTCATCAGTACTGTTTCTCACCGATGTCGTTAAAGGTTTGATGATTTTTTAATATATTAAATTGACTTTAGCAGTACATATATGCTATGTATTTATTTATTCGTTTTTACACCTATCTTAAGCCTACAATGTTGATTATACAAGTGTTTTACACCGTAGAATTTCTTTACAATTGACGCTTCGCTCTGTTCTGTGTCCCCTGAATGAGTCAGCCTCCAGCTGCGCCGGAGACCTACGCGTTTTTCAAGCGTCGGTTCTTCGATCCAAGCCCTTCATTTTTATTCCATAAACTTAATACTAACTTTTTCGACTACAGAACGACTTTAAATTAGAAGTACTCGTATTTGCTTGGACCACCCGTATAATTTTCATTACATTTTCATACTTACAATTAACAATTAAACGAATCGGAAAATCTTACAATCATACGGGAAATATTGTGTAATGATATGCACTGTCGATTATATTATTTTCTACGGTTTACCCTCTCTTCTGGCGAGAAAACTCATTTAGACGGGAGGGTGGTTCAGGTAAATGCGAGTACTCCTAATTTAGTAAAATAAGATGTAGTTTGTAAAACAATTCCACGATGAAAATTGTAACGCTGAATTACAACATAGATTCAATATACCTATAGTACTTACATTATGATAAGGATGAGCTACTTTTATTATCCTGTGTGAAATTATTATTCGTGATAATATAATAATAAGGATTATCTAAATTTTACTTTATGCGTCTTAATATAATTAATTTTAAAGTGTAAAAATGTTAATTATTTGCTGAAATAATATTTATAAATATGTACATGCATTTAGTTTGAATTAAAAATTTTAATAATTCTATGTATGTTTTAGAGGCCAAAGCAGCTAAGGAAGCTGGAATGTCGACAACTATTGTGATTCGTGAAGGTAATGCTCCTCTTAATGAAGAAGACAAATCAACTTTCTCCACAATAAAATCATTTGATGAATTGTGTTTCCAATCTGTGAATAAGCGCCAGAAAGTTGATTCTGTTGAAGATATAAAAGATTCAGAAGTTGAAGAAGTTTCTAAAAGTGAACCAATCGAGACTGGAATTGACAGTAAAAGTCAAGTTCCTATTAAAAATGACGATGAAAATGTCGTAGAACCAATGGATGTATCCGAAGAAAGTTTAGCGAAAATTGAGGAAAAAGCTGAAGCAATTTTGCAGGAGGAAAATGAAATGAAAGATGTAGTTGAAGTTGAACAGTGCGAAAAGAAAAGTCCATCGTCTGAAATTTCTAAAGAAGAAACACCTAAACTCGTTACTGAAGATTCCAAGGAATCGAAAAATACCGAAAGCGAAAAACCTAAGGAAGAATGTACTAAAGTCGAAGAGAAGAAGGATGAAGAAACAATAGCAAAAGAATCAGACGAAATTTTAAAAGTGGAGAAAGTTAATGAAACTGAAAAACCAGTTGATGAAAGTGTAAAACAATCTGTTGCTGAAAAAAAATCAGAAATTGAACCAGCGAAAGCAAAAGAATCTCAAAATACAGATCCTACTCCTGAATCGAAAACTGACGAAAAAGAAGAAGAGAAAGTTGAAACGACACCCGAAATCAGTACAAAATCCAAAGAAACGATTGTCACTGAAGAAAAGGTAATAAACAAGAATGAAAATAAAGATCAATCTCCTAAAACGAAAGAAACAACTGAGGAATTAAAAAAAGATGTTCCAGAGAAAACTATTGAAATAGAAAAAGAAAAAGCAACGGAATCCGAAACAAAAGACTCGAAGGTTGATGTCAAAGAAAACGGAGAAGCTAAAAAAACAGAAGAGAAAGAGCAACCATCAACAGAAGCGGAGATAAAGAAGGATCAACCAGAACTGCGAAGTGACAAGGCAGAAGAAGAGAAGAATGAAAAGAAAGAGGAGGACATGTTAGATAAATCAAAAGAAGAAGAAAAAGAAGAAAAAGTTACAGAAGTTGAAAAGGCGAAGGAGGATGAAAACAAATTTAATGGCACGAGTAATGGCAAAGAGAAACACAGTAATGGAGTAGAAGAGAATAATAAGTCAGATTCGAATACGTCGAAAGCAAGTTCTTCGCAGAACGGTGAGGCGGAGGTTGGTGAATCTTCTGAAGCGATTAAAGTAAAAAAAGTTGTTGATCCAACAGTTGCAGATGGAGCAGGTGAGCCCGAGGTTGTCACTCCTCCTGTAGCTGTCGCCGCAACGTCCTAATCACATTTTGTGCGATATAAGTCATACATACATGGCTCCTAATCCCTCGATTACTTATCTTACGTTTATAAAAGAAACAATTACACGAACACGACTCACTGCAGCTCAGTGGATTATCGGGAGAAAAATTAACATTAGACAAGTTCAATTAATTGAACATTGTCTTCTCATTCAGAGAAAAGTGTTGTAACAAATAGTTTAGTCATTGCCAAATTAATCATAGTGAGCGTTTTTTATTACAAGAAATTTAAAAAATCAAAGCTATCATATGTAAAATTATGTTCGATGTTACTTTTATTACATAAAAACTGATGACGAAAGAGATTACGTTTCTAAAAAGCAAAAAGAGTTTTTTTTTTAAACTTTTTTCTGAAAATAAATTAACTTTAATTCTTTACACTTTTTTTAAGAAAGTAAAATTCAAAGAAAAACTATTTGAACACCGTGCTACAAGTTTGAATATCTTTTTTTTTAATATTTCATGAGTTGACACACTTGTTCCTACAATAATATGATTTTTTAAAAGCATCTTTAGATAGTTGATTTAAATATTGTGGTGCTGTATTTTGCTCAACGACGCAATTTTTATGTACGCACACTTTCAATCTAAAACTTATTGGATCATCATATAAATAGAAATAGAACGGCCACAAAATTGCCTCGTTGGTTGCAAATAAATGTTGTTAAATTCCTAATTTTCGCAGAAAATTCTGAAGAATTAAGAATTTAATGACAAACTTTGTATAAGAGTTTCTTTTCGACTTTTCTTAACTTACTTTTTAATCTGATTACTCCACGCAACTATTCTTTATATCGTCGCTTGAAGAGGAAAACGTCAGTATGAAAATATTTTGAATATTTTCTATCATTCCAACTGCCATTTGAAGAAAATTACATTTCGAAATTATCAACTCTTTTATTTAAGGTTTATTTTACTATAAACTAGTAAAATTTAAATTTTAAGCCCATCGAAGTTGACATTATTTAAACGAATATTTCCTTCGGACTTGGATTAATAATCCAAGTTTGATTAAAATCAAACCCTAATTAAAATAAATCAAATGATAATCATTCTAACATTCTAAAATTAAGAAGATGAAGAAAATATGTTAAGAATATTTATAAAATATTCAAAAGGAGCTCATTTACATTACTTATTAATTATTTTTTGTATTTTATTATTTATTTACTAAATAATTGAATTTGAAATATTAAATGAATAATTTAACATAAATTCCTAACGTCTTTTTGAAGATGAACGTCAACCTAAATTAAAAAAGATATTTTAATTTCGAAATGAAATGTTTATAACAATGGTACAGTTTATAAAAATTCTTTGAAGCGACGTCGTTCTTAGTGCTTATTTGAAATGTCAGAGTTCTCCCCTCTGTGATATTTTGTGGCAGATCTGTTTTCCTTACGAGATTAACGCAAAACCTTGAACAGTGCGTGTTTTTGGTGCATATAACATGTATAATTATTTCATATGTATACATGATCATTGCATATTGATTCAACAATATTTTAAGGAACATTACTAATGACTACAGTTTATTATCATCTCATATTAAAAGCGTAAATATTTTGACGTACACATTATTGTAGGTGTTCATGTACATGTAACAAATGTCGAAAGTTCTTTCAATGTTAACTTGTACATATACAGGTACCAAAAACATGCATGTGTTCATGTGCGTCAATTTTTAGCCTGCTAGTATTAAGAATTAAATTTACCATCTCACATTCGGTATATGATCAATTCTTTTTATATTATTCCATGCTGAAGTTCATTTGCTTAATTATTTTATCTCCCCAATGTTTTAAAATCTGAAGGAATGCGCTGTGCGAAATCGGTAAGATAGGGAATTCGTAGATGGAGTATGATATACGAAATATACTCTGTGCCAAATGACCTAAGAAATGTCATTTTTCATTGTATTTTTATGTCAATAAACTGAGAACAGTCGATCTTTGCTGTCGCTTCTTACAATTATTTAAACTATGTAAAACTGTCAATTGGCATTCTATATTTAAATCCTTAAGGAATTGTTAAAGAAAACCTAAGCGAAAATATTAAATTTTTAAAAGGGCTGTTTTTTTTTTATAAAATAATGAACGATTATTTTTTTCTCGATTTTACATTAAATATGTATCTTCACTTAGGTTACATTTTAACTTTGATTTGATATGGAAAAGTGACCAGCAGCCTTTATAGTACTGCGAAATCTAGTATTTTGTTCATATTGTAGAATGTCTTTTGTGCATAGTACTTAAGCTCAAAAATATAACTTTCCATTTTACATAAATGTTTTTGACAGTAATTTAAAGTACAAACATAGTTGCATATTACTTAATTTAACATACAAATTTTCTTGACAAAATAACGTTGTTTGCTTGAGTGCGTGTGTTGAAATTTTTTTGGAACTAAACTAGAAGCTTAACTTTTGAAATTTTAGGTTACAAAACGTCAATTTATTTATTTATTTATTTAATTTTATAATTTGCCAAATTTTCTGTGATTTTTTCTATTAAAGTTTTAATTGATTCAAGCTTCTCGTTTATTTTTACAATTTGGTTAAATAACATAAATTGAATATTATATTTTAAAAAATATAATTAGAAAAAAGCTTTGTAATTATTATAGTTCTTGAAAATAAGTTTTATAGCTTTCACTGCAAAATATTCAAATTTAGTTTTCAAACTAATCTAGTTTGATAATCTAGTTCCAAAATTGTTTCTTAATTCTAAAACTATAGGAGAAATTTATACAATTAATTTCTCGTATAATTCTTTCGAATGTTTTTACGTATATGCTTAGATTGTATTAATTTTTCTTCGACGACTGGAGTATTTGAAATTCTCAAAATGTGACTCTCTTTTTTATATTTCCAAACTCTTTTTCTTTGTTTTGCATACTTATTAAACGTTTCAAAATCATTATTTTGATTATTTATAATTTATTTTCATTTTATTTTTTGAACATTTGCTCGAAAGGTCGACTGATTATTGAAGAATTACAATTAATGATTAATAAATAAAGAGACTGCCTTGGCTGACTATATGATAATTTTAAGATTTTAAGGTGCAGGACGTCAGTAACAGAATCAACATAAAGTTCTCGATTGACTTTCACGTCATCATACAAATTTTATCATTCCATATCGTCTCATATTAATGTCTGCGTCAATAGTCGAGAGCAATATTAGATAATGTTTAAGATTACCTGCGCGTTAGAAAGAGACAAAGTTCTCAATTATACTGCGATTTTCAATTATATCATTCTTTGTCTACTTTGTGACTAAGTATCTACTATAATCTGATAAGTTTTCTAAGTTTCAAAAATATTTAAGAAGAAAATAAAAACACAATTTTTAAGTTAAGATCTTATCTTTTTTAATGATCCTTATTTAAATTCATTCCGAACATAATTTCAACTAAAAGTATTTTTTTTTTAAACACACACGGAAAAAATTAATGGTTGTCACATCCATACCTTTGATTGCTTCAACCATATTATATTGAAAAATACGTCCAAACCATACAAAAATTCATAACTAAAAAGCCGTTTATAATAAATTAATGAAACTTACATTGATTACACACAATTGTTCACTCTTTTAAAAGAAAATATTTGCATGATTGTAAATTTAAAAATTCCATATTTTTAATAACAATTTTATAAATTTTTTTAATTATTTATGTTTTCTACCCCTCCAATTGCAATCAAATTCATAAAAAGTTTACTCCCTAGACTCTTCTTGAAGCCCGAAGAAAAAATCAGGCGAAAGGAATCCACGAGAAAAAGCAAAAGAAATCAAATGTAATTTTTTATAAGTCAATTTTTTTACATTTCAGTATTTAATTTCTCATTTGCTATTTGTATAAAAATAATTATTAATTACAAATAATATTATTCAGGGTTCCCACGCAACCTGGAAAACCTGGAAATGTCAGGGAATTTTTATAAACCTTGAAAAAACCTGGAAAAATCAGGGAATTTTGATTGGAATCCTGGAAAATGATTGTTTTCTAAAGTTATTGTGCTTATTCTTGAAATTTAATTTTTCTTTAATTTAATTTTCTTAATTCAAATTTCTTAATTCAATTTTAAAAGAGTTGCCTTTACAATTTTTCTTCGCAATAATTCAATTATTTTCATAAATAATAAAAAAATTTATAGATTTGCAATTATTTTCATAAATAATAAAACTCATCACAAAATTTCAATTATTTTTAATACAATTTTAATAGAATTTCTCGAAAACAGTATAATTATTTTTAAAAATTTTATTAAAATTCATCAAAGAAATTCAATTATTTTCAAAAATTTTAATGAAATTCGTTTTAACAAATTCAATTTTTTTTCAAAAATTCTCCTCCAGTCAATGATTTTCAATATCTACTATTTTAATAAAAATTTCCAAAAGAAATGAATTATTTAAAAAATTTTTTTTATAAATTTCTTCGCAATAATTCTATTATTTTCAAAAATATTCAATTTATGTTTACAGAGATTTAATTATTTTTATAAATATATGTAATACAATTTTTTACAGGGATTCAATTATCATTTTCATAGATAATAAAACTCATTGCAGAATTTCAATTATATTTTGTATATAATTTCAATCGAATTCCTCAAAAAATGTAATTATACTTAAAATTTTATTAAAATTCGTCAAAAGAATTCAATTATTTAAAAATTTGTTAATAAAATTCTTTATGAGAATTGAATTTTGAGAAACATTCAATTATTCAATAAATTATTTATTTTTGTATTAAAAATAATTAGGTATTTAAAAAGAAATATTATTAAAAAATTCTTCTCAAGAATTCAATTATTTTCAAAAGTAATAAAATTCTTAGCAGAAATTCAATTATGGTCAAAAGTTTAATAAAAGTTATTGTCGAAATTTCAATTATTTTTATAAATATTAAAATTTTTCTCTAAAATTCAATTATTTTCAAAAATTTTAATAAAATTCTTGGCAATATTTCAATTATTTAAAAAAATTTAATTATAATTCTTGACAAAATTTCAATTAATTTCAAAAACTTTTCTCAATTCAATGAAATTTTTTTGCAGATATTCAATTATTTTTAATACATTTTTAATCTAATTTCTCGAAAAATGAAATTGTTCTTAAAAATTTTATTGAAATTCTTCAAAAGAATTTTAATTACCTATTTAAATTTAACTTTGTAGTAGAATCACTTTTACTACTGATTCTACTAAGAAATACAAGTGGAATACATTTATTACCAATTTATTATTCGAAAGTTTAAAAAAAATCGAAAATCTTTTAGTTTTATTGATACTTTTTTAAATAAATCAAAATAGGGGTAGTTTTGGGGTTGAAAGTTAGACCTGAAATATTAGTAAGGGTATGTTTAATTGTCCCAATAATCTTCAAACAATTGTTGAATAAAAATTTCCCCTTTTTCTAGATTTTTTGCAAGAAAATTGGTTACCTTCTGTTTAAGGGTTGATTTTACCCCTAAAAACCACAAATGACTTGATCTCGAGAAACGGTCAGACAGGGGTATCTTTTTTTTGGCTCTAGTTTTCAAAAATCCTTGGTTCATTCATGTGTGCGAAAAAAAGTTTAATTTTGTCGGACGGTGGAATATGTCATTTGTTAAAAACGTGAACAATTTCTAACAAACTTTCTTTAGTTGTTTAAGTAAAATAATTAAAAACTTCTTAATATAAAAATTATAAATTAACAAATTTATGAAATGAATACATTTTAATATTTTCGTACTCTATATTTATAAAAATAATTTGTGTCCCTCCTGAGTTTTCTTTACAGGTTGTCGCTATCCAAGGTCTTATCGAGTTCACTCGAGTTTCCTTGAGAGAAAAATCCTTTACAGTGTTGTTATTATAATAAAATAAATTTAATAGTTAAAGTACTCGATTACCTTACTCATTTTTTCTAATTTTAAAAATATTTCAATTTTCGTAAACAATATTTTTAGTTTTAATCGTCAAATATTTTTACATAGATTACATATTATATTTAAAACGTTAAAAAATATGATATTATTTAGAAAACGAGGCTTCGGAGATGAATTTGAATTTTTACTCACATTGATAATACTATTTTAATTAATAATTTCAATAATTTTTTTTATCCTTTTAAACAAATATAGGTGAAAAATAAACGTTAGATTCTGAACTTTAATTTGATATATATTATAAATATGTTGAAATTATTAAATAACGTTAAAATATAATTATAAAATATACATGCTATTTAACCAAAGCTCGAAGATAAATGAATGAAAATAAATCTCTGAAAAATTAAAAGGTTATTTGTTATAAATAATTCATCTGTAGAAAAGTTGACGCATCACTAACATAGAAATTTTTAATTAATTTATTAATTTATTATTATCATAAATATTATAAATTATTTAATTAATGTAGAAATTAAAATATGAAATCAAAATTTTATTTAATCCAAATAAAATATTCTTGCTGCAATGTCGTCAAGAATCCAATTTATGCCCTCAACTAAATTTTCAGCAGTAACGGCGGAACATTTAAAAATTTGACAATGATGAGACTTTATATTCGGCAATTCTAATACTTCCGCAATTTCCGATGCTGAAAGTGCACCAGTCAAATCTTGTTTATTAGCGAATACTAATAAACTAGCACCCTCTAATCTTTCTTCTTGTAACAATTTGTGCAATTCGATTTTACAGTCCTCAAGTCTTCTTCTATCTGCACTGTCCACGACCCAAATAAGACCGTCCGTGCATTCAAAATAATTTCTCCAATAAGATCGTAATGATTTTTGTCCACCAACGTCCCAAATATTTAATTTATAACCACGATGTTCCAAAGTCTTAATGTTGAATCCTAGTGTTGGCGAAATTGTATCGATTGGTTCTCCATTAATCCTTTTTAAAACTGTTGTCTTCCCTGCATTGTCTAAGCCCCTGAAAGTTTTAATAAAACATAAAATTTTTACAATGAATAATTTTTCTGTAATAAAAACTATTCTAGAAAACATATAAAACATAATATGGTGTAGATTTTTCAAGAGAATTTAATAAAAAAAAATATGTTTGAATTTTAAAAATTATTTTTCTGTTAATAAGATTGTTCCAAATTTTTTGAATTTTGTTGGTCCAACTTTGACGATCTGGATTTTCTAAGAAAAAAATTACACGTTAATGCCTATAAGTAATTCTTATAGTGTAGTAAATGACCTTTAAAATAAGCCTAAGATCATTGAAAAGCGTACATTATTTTAGAAGTTATTCAAATTTTTGTAAAACATTGAAAATGACGATTTTTTAAAAATATCTTTAAATCAAATATTGTCCAAACGACTTCTGAAATATCTTGTTCTTTTCAAAATGTTATCATCTTTCAAAATATAAACAGAAAAAAATTTTAGTTTCAATAAATTTTATGCTTTCAAACGTTTTTCATTCGCCTGAAAATGAGTGGTCTCTCAATTTTGACCGGTAGTGTACGGGCCAATTATTGACAAAAATATAACCAGTCCGAGTCAAATAAGAGAACATTTTACATAAAACTATAAATTAAATTTTTCATAACTATAAAACATGAAGATATCGGAGTGATCGATTTCTTCATGTTTTATAATAATTAAAGATGACCAAGTGATAAAATCATTATCAATTCAATTATTATCTTCAACAATTTTTAACTAAAATTCTTCTTTAAATCGATTATTTTTAATAATTTTCGAAAAAGTTCTTTGACAATTTTCAAATCAATTTGTTTACAATATTCAATTTTACGAAATTTCAATATTATTCGTAAATTCCTCAATTAAATATATATTCGAAAATAAAAACTTCAAATCATATAAAAAACATTCAATTAAACTTTTTCAAAAAAATTAATTACAAAATTCAATTATTTTTAAGAATCTACGCTTTAATGCTTTTAATATTCAATTTTAATCTAAAATTTTAACTGAAATACATTTTTAAATCAATTTTTATTAGAAAATTCTACTAGAATTCAATTATTTAAATACAAAAATAAATAATTTATTGAATTCTTTTGACGAATTTTAATAAAATTTTCAACTTATAATGTTTTCAAGACCTTAATTTTTGACAAATAAATTTGTTTTTATTGTGGCCTTGGGTCCACTTTTTTTGAAACAAAAAGTTTCGCGTTTAAAAACTTTTCAAAAAAGTCTTTTGGAAATATTTTTAAATGTTTTTCTAAATTTAGTAGAGCTTTTTGAGACGTAAAATATTGAAAAAATTTGTTACTTATGCTTTTTTGGTGTCAAATTAACATTTAAATTTGAATATTTTCTATTATAACTGTACAGATTCTTCAAAAATGCATTAAATAACTTATTTTTGAACTTTATACTTTTTTTGGTAATAAATTGAAATAATAAATGGCGAAAATGCAATTTATAATATTCATAACATGAAGTTAATATATTATTACTAAAAAAATAATGTAATTAATAAATAATGTCTTGATTTTTTTTCCTAAGCTGACAAATACTTTTATTTAAGCAAATTGAAAAATAGATAATTTCACTTTTAGGTAGTAATTTTATAATATAGTACTGATTTACTTACAACATAAGAATCCTCATTTCTTTCTCTTTTTGTTTTAATTTCTTTAATACTGTTAAAAGGCCCATTTTGACTCTTCTTCCTTTTCTGCTATAAGAAAACTTTTTTTTTAACCCTTTCGAAAAATCATAGTATCCTTTCTTTTCATTTATAATTTAAAATCTGTTTATAATATCCTCCTGGAGTACACTTTTTTAATTATTATTTTTCTTTTCTGAATGATTGCTGAATAATAAAACCATCAAATTGAAAATAGTTTAAAAAAAACTTCCAATCAGTATAATATGACGTCTGAAAATGGTAAAATAAGGGTGCATTCAAACCAGCTTCAAGTCATTGGTGCGCAGCGCACATCTAAATGTAAAGGTGTTTCTACAATAGCTTGTAAATGGGGCATTCCACGCCAAATCGGAAATTATTTTGCTTTTGCATTTCAAATTTTTTTAAACATTGTTTTTCTTTTAGTACTCTTTGAAATGAGCTACCATGATTTTTTTTAAATTTTTTCATAAAGCGGTTCAGAAGATACAGATTTTTGAAAAATGAAATTTTTTTCGTACCTAAATTTTTTTTAAATGCTTATAACTCGGTCAAAAATTGATCAAATTAGACCTTTTTATAATGAAAAGTTTTATTTTTACGCGTAGTTTTCAATAAAAATATTTTTAAAAAACTTTAAAATAATTTACGATAATATTTAAAAATTTTTTAAATAAAATTTCATTTTGCTTCCTCTAAAGGAAGCTTTGTATTAGCAAAATTTTGGATTGTCATTTTTTGACATATTTATAAATTTTTTTTTATTATGCCTAATACTTTAGTACTTTATATATGCACAGGAACTCGCCGTATAAATGTTCTAAATAAATAAAAAAAAATTTCGACGTATTTTGAACACCGAAGTCCAAAAAACGGATTTTAAAAATTTGTCCCGATGTGTGTGTGTGTGTGTGTGTGTGTGTGTGTGTGTGTGTACTAACATTACATTTGCCTCAATATCTCAGAATAAGAAAGAGCTAAAGGCCTCAATTTTTTTTTAAATTGTAGGTCTCCCCGGGGGACATAAAATGAGAGTATTTTCAGCCCGATTCATGAAGTTTAACTATTTTTTTTTGCATTTTTCATTTTGTAAAAAAACGTTTTTTGGACGTAACTTAAAAAAATGTTAGGACACTTATAAATGTTTTTCTTTAGTTTTGTAGAGTTTTTTCACACGCATCTTTTGAGCCCTAATTGAATATTTTTCGTTCATATTAACCGGAAATATTAAACTTTAAAAAATCAAAAATTTTAGAAAATAAGACTTTTTTGAAAATTTTGTTGAAAAATGTAGAAGTTTAGTTTTGTTTTGTATTTAGTTTTGTAGAGTTTTTTCAGACGCATCTTTTGAGCCCTAATTGAACATTTTTCGTCTATATTGACCGGAGATATTAAACTTTTAAAAATCTAAAATTTTGAAAAATAAGACTTTTATAAAAAATTTTTTAAATTATGTAAAAGTAACTTCAAAAAATTATTACCAACTTGAAGAGCATTAAAAACGCTTCGTTTAACCTATTTTTTAACCTGATTCGGGCAGAAATCATGAAATTATTGGTATTTGAAAAATCAAGAATTGTGGAAAATATCATTTTTTCAACATTCTTGTTTATTAATTTATGTGTAATTATTAAACTATTATTATCATCTTATAGAATATATAAAAACACATTTTTTGGACCAAGATTTAATGATTTTTAACCCTTTTATAAAAAGTAATTCTTATATTTCAATTATTATTATTTCTATGAGGAAGCAAAGTGTTCATGAAATGAACACCAAAATTATAAAAATGTACAACTTGGCAGCGGTTTTTAACTATGTATGTATCGATCAATTTTTTTTCAAAATTTTTTGTAAGAAACTAGCACAAAATTAACAATTTTTAAGCCTTGTCCGATCGTGGGCAAACGATGAGATCTATTTATTTAAAATTTTTTAATTTTTATATACACAGTGAAAAAGGTAGGCCTAACTTGTCATTTGACCAAATCACAATTTTACACAGAAAGAAGGTTAAGTTTGGAGAGACTCAGTCTGAAAACACATTTGCTGTGAAAAATTTGTGTGATTTTGTCAAATGGCAAGTTAGTCTTTTTGCCACCACTGCGTATATAAAAATTTCAAAATAAATAGATCCCATTGTTTGCCCACGTTCGGACAAGGCTTAAAAATTGTTAATTTAGTGCTAGTTTCTATTACAAAAAATTTCGAAAAAAATTAATCGATACATACATTGTTAAAAATGAAATTTTATTTTAAAAATTTTAAAATCTTATCGTAAATTATTTAAAAAATTTTTAAAAATATTTTTATTGAAAACTACGCGTGAAAACAAAACTTTTCATAATAAATAAACGTTCAATTTGATTACTTTTTGATCGAGTTATGAGCATTTAAAAAAAAATTTACGTAAAAAACGTCATTTTTCAAAAATCTGTATCTCCTGAACCTTTTTTTATGAAAAAATTTGTAAAAATTAAAGGTAGCTCATTTCAAAGAGTGCTAAAAGAAAAAAAAATGTTTAAAAAAAAATTTGAGATGCAAAACCAAAATGATTTCCGACTTGGCGTGGAATGCCCCAAATACATTTGTTTTGTCTGAAGTCCAACCCACAATATTCGCAAACGATACGCATGAGATAGAAAAGGACACAAATATATCTCTGTCCTTTTCTAACTCATGCTTTGCGTTCGCGAAATAGCAGCGTTTTTCGTTGCGTTTTGTAACTAGGACATGAGTGTGAGAGAGATGGAGATATATGTTCGCTATATTTGCTCTCATGGCCAAGTTACAAAACGTAACATAATCCGTCATAAGGATGGAATCGATGGAATTTCATAAGCGCAAGAGAGAAAGTGCTATATGACTATCTCTCTTGCGCTCATGAAATTCTGCTTTCGATTTACGCACTTCAAGCACCTTTAGATTTACCATGGAGACTATCTTTAAAAAAACAACTATAGTATCTGCACTTTGGTATTCGGTTATTTTAGGTTAAATCTTTTTCTGCCATTTCTGCATTTGAATTGTCAATTCGTTTGAAAATAATGGAGGAATTAACACTAGATGAACGAAATGCAAGTATTCGACGTAGAATGTTAAATTTGGAAAAAGTTCATATAATGCCAATGCCTCCAGATTCTCTCTACATTAGACCACTGAGAATGAATTATACTCAGGACAGTCGTGAAAAGTATTGGGACTTAATGAAGGTTCACGACAGCGTTTGTATTATTATTTTTAACATTACTCAAAAGAAGCTTGTTTTCGTTAAACAATTTCGTCCTCCGTGCTATTTTGCCTCTATTCCTGAGAAGTTTGGGGATATTGACGTCAAAAAATATCCAGCAGATCTTGGGGTTGCTATGGAACTATGTGCAGGAATGGTTGATAAAAATAAAACAATTGTAGAAATTGCAAGAGAAGAAGTTATAGAGGAATGTGGATATGATGCTCCAATTTCACTATTCGAGAAAGTTAATTGTTACAGGTGTGTTTTATTCTCAAAAACATCACACAATAATAAAATCAGGGTGGCCACCTGTCAGTAAAGTCAGGGAAATTCTGTGTAAACTTTCATATTTTTCTGTGAAAAGAATTTTGGCAAGGAAAATAATTTTAATAACAGTAAATTATCAGGGAAATTGTTAAACTAAAACTTGTGACCACCCTGAAAATTTTAAATATTTGTACTTCAAGCTTTCCGCTTGTCACATTTTTAATTTTTAATATTTAAGAAATCCATTCTTTAAGTCTAGACCAAAATCATTCAGAAGTATTAAGTATTTTCTTCAAATTCTACGAAAAAGCTTCTCTTGCTCTAAATTTTTCGAAGAATATAAATTGCAAATTCGTCGTTTCTATTCATTTGTTTTATCAATTAACCACACTTTTGAAAAATATAGAACCTCTTGATTGTAGGAAATTTAAGATTATTTAAAAGAAAATTATCTCTTTTCTTATAATTTTATTTTTTTCATATTTTTCGAAAAATTTAGAGATAAAGAGAAATTATTTTTATAGAATTTAAAGAAAATACTGAATATTTGTAAATGATTTTGGTCTAGAATTAAAAAGTGGAATTTATACTTCATATTGTAAAACTGTCAAATCGTAATAAAAAATTTCTTCAATTAGCGTTCGCTTGAACTCAAGATTTCGAAATCGCAATTTTTATAAAAAATCTCTAACTTTAAAGAACTATATTTTCATATTTACATTATTAAATTGGTTAAATATCTCAGCTTATTTGACACTCAATTTATTGCACTTTAAAATGATCCTAATTGATAGCTTTTACATCAACTAGGATATAAAATTTTCTGTTTCTAAAGTCTAAGAAAATCATTCATAAATAATAATTTTCTAATATACTTAATTATAATTTTAAAAAAATATTGAAACGGAAAAAATCGAAAATAAAAATAAAAATTGGATTTAGCTCATATACAATTTTTATTTGATCCAAACATTTAATTGTAGAATTCTTAAAAATTCTCTAAACTTTAAAATTGAAAATTCCGACGAAAACTTAAGTGTTCCATTCCATTTTATCTAAAGATTGCTCTTCTATAGAAAAAAATAGGAATTATTTTCAAAATGAAAGAAACCCTAAATCCTTCACTCAGTCTGATTCTAACGACATTATGACACAACAAAGACAATTTAAACGCAAAGATTAAAAAAGATAAAATGTACGCAGACGAATACCAAATCCTGAGTCTTAGCAAGACAACAAAGCTAAAAAAAACTCGCACAAATGGTACTTCAGGCATTGGAAGAAAAAATACTGCCATTAAAGCTAGAGAAATGGAAAAAAGGATGTTACAACATAAAATGTTAGAGGAAATGTCATAAGCTCTCAACTAATGAACAAAAAAATGCTTTTTATGTGTTTTGGAAGGCAGAAAGTGATTCCAAACAATGGGAAATTTTAAATAACTGGCTAGAACGAGGGCTAGAAGTAAAATAAATTTGACGATAGTGATTCACCAGACTACGGAAAAGTTGACGCCCCAATACAATGAGGAATTATAAGCTCCCAAAAAATAATTTTACTGAATTTGTTACCGTATGCCGTAAAATGTTCCTGGATACGCTGAGTACGTTAAACTTTTTAATATAAACTAACTCCCATTTTTTCATAGTTTTAATTAATTTTTCAATTTTTATTAATAAACTTTTTCATTTTTAAAAATAACTTTTTTCAGACATTTCAGAACAATGGGTAAGAACGGCTCTGAAGAAAAAAACTATATCGAATGCTACTTACTAGCCTCATAGAAGCAGATCAAAGGGGAAACTTCTCTGCAGAATAGGATATGAAAGAATAGGAATCCAAGATCAGCAGAATATTTACCTAAATAAAAAATTGATTAGAAAACTTATGAGTGCGGCTAAAAAACATCCAAAAAAGATTAAATTGTGTGCACTATCAATTTTAATATGCAAAAAATTTTAACAATACCTCGAGCAGAAATTTGACCACTTTATTACATCAAAGTTTTGTACGGAATTTTTCACTATTCGACTTAGGGAGTCATGAAGGTGTCTGTTGCCTTTGGGATGAGACCATAGGAAAACGACGATCGAATAAAATCGCATCTATTTTAATGGCTTATTTAATAGCAAAACTTAATGCATCGCCAAATCATCGTTTATTTCACATGTTTAGCGATAATTGTAGTGGCCAAAATAGAAATAAATGTGTTTTTAGTATGCTTATTAAGGTACTACTCCAATACAATGTAAAAATTTGTCAAAGGTATGAAAATAATAGATTCTTTAAGGAGTAACACGTACCACTCTAGAGGCAGAAAAAGTAACATTTTTTTATTTGTTTTGGAAAAATGTAAAAAGGAATATGATTTCTTTTCGGAGGGTTTTTTAAATTCATATAAAAGTGTGAAAAATAAGTTTTATTTAAAATTTTATAACAAAATGGTGGCGATAAATTTTATAGTAAAAATATACTATTTTTTTAAGTCCGGAAAGGTTTTTTGAAAAGTTTAAGTCCTGGAACAAAATATAAAGAAATTTCATGATTTACACTAGGGTCGAAAAGTTTGAGTACATTTGTACTGATTACTTTTAAATGCTCGTTTCACTTAATATTCAAATATTTCTGTAAAAATAGATGTAAGAGTTATCAAACTAAGATTATTTTAAAGTTCAATAACTTTAGAGTCAAATAGGCTAATATGACTAATTTAATAATGTAAATATAAAAATATAATTCTTTAAAGTTAGAGATTTTTTGTGTAAGTTGAGATTTCGAAATCTAGAGATAAAAGCGAACGTCGATTGAAAATTTTTTTTTAAAGATTTGACAGTTGTACAATATGTCTTTTTAAATTTATGCAGTTAGATAATAAAACCTTGAAATATATTTCTTCTATAATAAAAATAAATGAAATTGTTAAATTACTTAAACAATTTTAATTAACAAATACCTCATATTGTTAATTTTTACAAGAATGTAATCCGTTCTTACATAAAATCATTTTAATATTACTAAGTTACATTTAAAAGTAGTAGAAAAAATGTAACAACTAAAAAATCGATTACTGTAGACAATCTTAACTAACAAATGCTAAAGATAAAATTACTAGGGTAATCGATTTGAACTTTTAAATTACAAAAACAAAATGTTTTATACAAAAAAAATTTAATTAAAAATTAAAGTAGCAAGTTTCGAATTTGCTCAAGAGCTCGAAAAGTATTAATGTATGTATTTGAAAAATTCGAGTACTGGGTCAAAATTTCCCAAACGGATCACCTAATACTAACAAATTTTATTTTTGAACAAAAATATTTTTTTACTCTCAATATAGTTTAGAAGAATCTCTGAAAATATTTTAGTCTCACAACTAAAAAAACACTCCCCTACTAAACTATTCTAAAAAAAGAATTCAAACAATAAATAATGATTATTTATTGTTTTCATAATTTTTTAATTACTTTCAATTTACTATAGGTCGGGAGTAGGTTCCGCATCTTCTATGCAGACATTATTCTACGTTGAAGTTACTGATGATATGCGAACCCATTCAGGTAAGAATACAATTAGAAAACAAATATATAAAAAACAATAAATCATTTTTCTTCAAGGAGGTGGTGGTGCTGACTCAGAGGGTGAATTAATCGAAGTTATCGAAATGAATATTCAGGAAGTAAATGATTACCTGCATTCTGGAAATGTTCAAAGTCCTCCAAGTTTACTTTATGGTGTTACTTGGTTTTTAGCTAGTAAACAAAACCGTTACCAATAAATTATAATTGAAAAATTAAGGTAATTTCAAATTTTTATAAGAGAAGATTGTTTTATTTTTTAATTTAAATTTATATACATTAAAACTTTTTGTACAAACGTTTATAATTGGTAGTCAGTAAACAGTCGACATTTAATGTTCAACATCATCTTTTGTAAACTGTGTACTGACCCAGGCAAGACCCCATTTTAAATTTGTCAGAACATATTTTAAGGCCTTAGTCCACTGCTCTTCGGAATTAAATTGAATCCTAAAATGCAAAAAAACAAATTATTATTTTCTCTTATTTAAATTGGAAAAATGTAATCAAATGATTTAACGAATAAAGATTGTTTAAAATAATAATAGACTTTATTGATGTGTGTGTGTCTGTTCGCAGAATTTCACTTAAATTCATAGATTTTTTTTCAAAATCTATACTGTTTTTCATAATACTTATTGTTATTATTAAAACAAATTACTTCAATAATCCCATTTTAGAAAAAAATATAAAATTCAATTACTTGATAGAATAAGAATTGCCGGTGGCTGAATCTTCGATCTTTCCTTTATCCATTCTATATGGAAGCGAGAATCCACTGTCGCCCTTTTCTACTTTTTCCTTAAATTGTTGCAAACAATCCAAGAAAGCTACCATTGCTGAGTCGAATTTAGTGTCCCAGAGGAACTTAAAGCCTCCACTACAGTGCAATGGAAGTTCCATATTTTGATTCAAGATTTTTATATAACTGTGATTTCCACGAGGCACAAGTTGAAACCGTTGAAAAGTCAAGTTTATCTTTCGTGCTAGTGCTGTTAATAACAGAGTTGCCTGTCCCCAAGCTGCATTAATTTCGCTCCAATCAACAGGTGCACTTGGTAATCTTCCTAATCTAAAAGAATTTATTGTGCCAAAGTGACCAGAATGCCAGATGTGAAAAGTTGCATTAAAAACATTTGTTTTTTTTAATCTTTCCAATTGTGCAGATGCGTAGGCCAGTTGACATTCCAAACTGTACACAAAAATTATAGGAAATTAGACAAATAGAAAATAGGACATAACTTTTGAAATATATCATATACTTTTTTTGTAAACATAAAAAATATACCCCCTAATTTCTACAATGTTTATTTAAATGAGTTAACATTTTAGGGATTTAATAATTTTATATAGAATAACAATTTACTTTGTTTAAGACTTGGAAATGTTACCTTCTACATTCGTCTTCTGCCAACATAAGATCTCGTCTGTGTTTTGAATATTCTCTCCAATATCGTTCTTCTTCACTTTGTAATCTCTCTCGTTCAATTTCCTGTTGTCGAATGGCACTTTTTGTATATGTTTCTTCGTTTCTCAAAGCTTCCAATTCACTTATTATTCTGTTTTCTTCTGCTGTGGCATCATGTAATTCTTTTGACAAATTTTCCATTTTAACATCTTCATTTCTTTCATTTTCTTGTTCAACATCTAATTTTTTTAAATATTCATTATAGTCAGCCCATTCGCTTTCAGTTAATCTTAGCTGCTGGTCCATTAACATCAAAAGTGTATCCGTGCATTCGTCACATAAGGGATGATCAGAAGAACTGCTACTGCTTAATATATCAAATAACGTTGCTCTTATCTGAAATTATGAATTTAATGTTTATCAAATTTTAATAAGCTGTAAAAATTGAAAAATTGTATCTTATATCTTAAAATAAGATCTTTTCCAAAGTGAGTTACATGTAAATCGTCAAAACTTTTCTCCGAAAAAATGCTGAAAATGTATAAAGCATTGTTATGTAGATACTTTTAACATCTTAAATTAAGATATATCAACTAGCTTAAAAGTAACTACGATGCATTCAGCTGCGAAAGGAAGAGGCAGCGTGCATTGATGTAATTGCTGAGGAGGTCAGCAAGATGCTTAAGACCTGCGAGATCCAGAAGAATGTTGGCGTGACAATTAATGAGGGACTAAAAAGAAAAGCACGACGAAGCGAAGAGGATGGATGAACGTCTCTATCAAGGATTAGTCTGGTCAGAGGAGGTTCGACAGGATCGTAGACGCAGAAGAGGTAGATTCAATGCAATTGCATTAAAAATGTTGTTATGGCTTCACAGAAAAAAAGATTAAGCAGTCCTGAATCGTCGAAGGACCTTAAGAAGAAGAAAGAGGAAGTGAAAGCTCCTAAACTGTCTGCACGTAAGGTTGACAGGGATTCCAAAGTAAACCAAGGCAGGGAATTACCTAGGTTACCGCCACGATCAGCTATGGTTGTCAAGGTGGCTAAGGGTGTTAGTTATGCTGATGTCTTAGGAAAGCTCAAAAGAGAGGCAAAACCTGATGCCAGCCAGACAAGAGTGGTGAGAGCAATGCCCACAAAGAAAAGTGACTTTCTTTTAAACTAGAAGGCTCACAAGGAAAGGAGAATTCTTCTCCGAGGAGGTGTCAAGGATTGTGGGAGAGCTTGGTAAGGTGCAGATGGCGGATCGAAAGGTCACACTGGAGATCCGTGACCTGGACTGCCTTACCGACAACGGAAGTCCAGGAAGCCTTAGTGCAAATTTTGGGTGTACCATCAGCCTGTAGGAAGGTGACGACCCTTGTGCCCAACAAGTGTGGCTTAAAACTTGCTGTTGTGGTTACAAGCTCAGAGCCTAATACCATTGATGCCTTTAATGTGCTGGGAGAAGCGGGTCCACTGCCGAACATCATTGATTTCTTTGATGTGCTGGGAGAAGTGGGCCTGCTGCCAAACACGACTGGCATCATGGATATGTTCGGTAGACCTTGCCGTGGTAGCAGGGCTTTTCACTAAAGGACAACCGAACAGAAAGAAATGAACATGATGAGCGACCGTCAAAAATACTTCAGTTAAATCACTCATCGGTTCCAATTGTCAAGCGCCTAGCGTGGGGGCAATAGCCGGTGGCCCGTGGATGCAGGAGGGCAACGCCGCACAGAAGGTTCCACAGATCATCGTGAAGAGTAAAACTTCAATGTGTAGTTAAAGACACATTTCACTCCAAAAATCTAGTTGTATACCCTGATGTTTTAATGCTGTCGTTCCTGTTTTGACGGCGTTTTAACGCGAAAAAGTTTTTTTGTTTTAACGTGAAAAATCGTTACATATCTATCAAAATATTGTTAGTTCATGACGTATGAACGAACTTATATGTCACTAACTAACCAAATTTTGATAGACATGTCACGACATTTTAAAACACCGTCAAAACCGGAAGGACAGCATTAACCACTTGAGCGTCAGGGCGTCAGAATTAGCGTCGGTCGTAGAAGTGACAGAAGAGGCAAAAAGGCGTCAAGACTTGACTATGATTTTCTAATTCTGTAAGGAGATTTATAATATCAAAATAAAGTATTCTTGTTTTTTAAGATAAAAGAACAGACCTATGACCTACCGCTCAAGTGGTTAAAGCATCAGGGTCTATAAACCAGGAATTTCTCTCAGGCTGAATAATCTTGATTGGTATATGGGAGCGTTCACAAATTATGTCACGTTTTTGGGGTAGAGGGGGTCTCTACTAAATGTGACACAATGTATTTTTCACATGTGAAATTGCATGAGATTGCGTGACAGGGGGGAGGGGTCGAAAATCTCAAAAAATTGCGTGACATCATTTGTGAACGCTCCCTATGTGAAATTATGTTTCTTACTTTTAAATTATGACTTAAGCTTTCCATTTCACCTGAATCACCAACGACCATAAACCCATTTGAACCATTCGCAGACTCTGTTAGTCTAAACGGATGTACCAAGTGTTCTAAGCTCCCACTAGCTGGTTCCATTTCCTCTGCAGCTTGGGGTTGAATTGGCACTAGAAAATGTTAAGGAAATATTTTACTGATTGTTAATCTACCTTTCTTCTGTAACTCATTTGTGAAACACTTTTTGGGGAGATTTTTCCTGCACGGAGAAACTTTAGTTTGGAAAATTTTACATTATAATAACTATTTTTACAAAAGATCAATAATAATAGAGGATACAGTGATAAAAATGACATTATTTTCTACTACTATATTACAAAATACATTTATCGGTCTCATTTACAATTATAGCATACCTACTATTAATAATTACAATAAGGAGTTGGAATAACTAATAAAATCTAGATGTTTTTTAAATTAGGAAACACAAATATTCACGAAAAGAAATTTGACAATGATAATTATGAAAAGTAAAAATTTGAATTTCACATTTTACACTTTGATTTAGAAAAATTACTGTACTCAATCTAAAAGTCATTTGAAAACATTTCAGAAAATCGGAATATTTTTTTGTGAAAAAAATTTTCGATTTCGCTGTATTAATTAAAAATAATATATTTTCATAGTAATTGATTCGATTTCTGATTCACCATCAAATGATTTATGCTTTTGGTAAGTTCTGATATATATGACATAAAATAGTTATTAAATAAAAACGATTTTAAAAAAGTGCAAAATTTAAGGTTACAAAATAACTCTGAGAGTCCAACTTCTGATTAATAATAACATTAAAAAAAAAATAAAATTTTCGGAATAATATTATGGTTAGTGAAATCAGGAAGTCTTCTAGTTTTACATATTTTGAAACCAGATTTTTATCAATTAATAAAAATGTCATTTAAAATCATCATAAAATATAAATATTTATAAATAAATTAATATATGGGGCTTTCCACGCCAAATCGGAAATCATTATTTTGCTTTTGCATCTCAATTTTTTTTTAATTTTTTCATAAAGCGGTTCAGGAAATACAGATTTTTGAAAAATGGCGTTTTTTAAGTAAATTTTATTTTAATTCCTTATAACTCGGTCAAAAATTGATCAAATTGGACGTTCTTATAATGAAAATTTTTGTTTTCACACGTAGTTTTTAATAAAAATATTTTAAAATAATTTACGATAAGATTTAAAAATTTTTTAAATAAAATTTCATTTTTAACAATATATGTATCGATAAATTTTTTTAAAAAATGGTGTAAGAAACTAGCACTAAATTAACAATTTTTAAGTCTTGTCCGATTGTGGGCAAAGAAAGGGATATATTTATTTTGAAATTTTTAATTTTTATATACGCAGTGATGGCCAAAATGCCTAACTTAACATTTGACCAAATCACACAAATTTTTCACAGCAAATGTGTTTTCAGACTTAATCTCTCCAAACTTAACATTCTTTCTATGTAAAATTGTGATTTGGCCAAATGGCAAGTTAGACCTACCGTTTTCACTGTGTAATATAAAAATTAAAAATTTCAAAATAAATATATCCCATCGTTTGCCCACAATCGGAGAAGGCTTAAAAATTGTTAATTTAGTGCTAGTTTCTTACAAAAAATTTTGAAAATAATTAATCGATACATACATTGGGGAACGTCCATAAACTACGTAGACCAATTTTTTTGGAAATTTTAACCCCCCCTCCCCCCACGTGGACGCAATTACATGTATTAGCGCCATTTTTTCCTCTTATGGTAGACAATTGCTTGACCCCCCCCCTCCCCCTAGACGTGCTACGTAGTTTATGAACGTTCCCTTGTTAAAAATGAAATTTTATTTAAAAAATTTTTTAATCTTTTGTAAATTATTTAACAATTTTTTTAAAATATTTTTATTAAAAACTGTAAAAAATTTATGAGACATTTTCAACTACATCCTCTTAGTAGAGTAAAAAGTAATAAAAGGAACTACTTTTTCAGTTAGTCTATCTTTGCATACTTATTTTAACTATTTTATGTTGTTATGTATACTTTATACTATACTACATCTGAGCGAATAACTGACGATAGAACGTAGTTTTTTTATTTACGATTAGACACAAAAATAATTTTCAATTGTAATAATTATGTTTTAACGCAAAAAAAATACTTAAATGAATCGAATAATCGGTTTGATTATTATTTACATAAAAATTCACTTTTTTATTATTTTTTAATTATTATATTATATAAAACATGAAGATATCGGTTGCTCCGAGAGTCGAAGACTCGGAGTGATCGATTTCTTCATGTTTTAGAACAATTTTCTATAAGTTGTTTAATTTCATAAAGGTTTGAATTTGAAATTTTTAAAAATCTTAATTCCTATAGAAAAAAAATAATAATTAAATATTTATTTAAAAAAGAAGTTATTGATGTTTTTGAATAATTTAAAAGAAATTTGTAAATAAATAAAACAACATTTTTTAAGTAAGTTTTTTCCCTTTATTTTCTAAAAATTTTAAAAGTTTCAATTTCATTTTCAATTAAAATTTGTAATGGACAAAATAATAGAATTTTTAAATATTTGTTTCCTTTATTTTTAAGAAACTTTAAATTTTATTAAAGCAATTGTAATTAAGAAATAGAAATGATGCAAATTATTTCCTTATGAAAATTGAGAATTTTCTACAAAAATATTATGAAACGGGAATATATAGTCGAAAAAAGTCGCACAATCCGAGCCCTGTTTTTTTTAAAAATTAGGCCGCAAAAAATAAAATACAATAAATATTAAATGAGTACAGAAAAAACATTTTTTAAATTGTTACTTATTTTGTCAGAAGTTTTAGAGATTTATCCATAATAGAAAATGTCATCGGCTTGGTGGCAAACTACCATTTCAGGAATTCGTTATGAAATGTAGCATTTCGGTAGATGTTTATAAAACATATCATTTCGAGAAAAAAAGTTTTTTGCTTTTTATCCAAGTTTGTCAACAAACTAAAAATACAAATAAACAAAAAATAAGTTTATGAATTTTTAAAAAGAGGTTTCTTATCTTATCTTATCAGTTTATTAACTCAAACTTTCTAATAATTTAAATCAATTGTTTGTTAATCATTATAGAAATTGTTTAGTGCAACACTTTTATATACATTTTCATCGAAATGGTATGTTTTTGTTTTATAACAAACTTTTGAATTGGTATTGTTTATAACGAATTCTTGAAATGGTACAGTTTACCACCAAGCCGACGATGTTATCTTTTTCAAAATATGCCAAAGGAAATAAATATAGGATTTGTTAATTTAAAATTACTTACATGAAAGTTCAGCAAGAGTATGTTCTCCCAACTGATTAAAACTAGGATCGAGTCTCAGAGGTTGTAAACATCTTTGACATGTAAAATTAATATTAGTTTTAACAACATCCATTGTGAAGACTTTCTATTTACAATTAAAATCACAGTTACTCCTACGAAAATGTTACTAATAAATACGCATTTCTTGCTTGAGGAAGCAATGACATCTGTTTTGCTATATTCACAGTTGTTATGATCACAGACGCATTGGAGGTTAGGTAAAATCGATATTGAGGCTGTGTCCACAATGGTTGTTTTCGGCAATTACTCTAAAGTCCTTTCTCCAATAAGATTCCAAAAGCATATTTCGCCCCACACTACGGAAGCCTGTACTGTACGGATCACACGGAAGCTTCTACGCGTCACCATGGTCCATGACTCACTCGCGCTACGAGGCCAGAGTGAATGTCGATTGAAGCACCCTGCAAATGAGTGCCTTGTACTGAGCTTGGATGCGTGCCTCGGACCGTTCTTTGTGCGACCCAAGAAACTTTCAATATTTTGAATAGTGCGCTTGATAGTAACGGCTATATAATTGTTAGAATTCGTTTATTCGTAAGTAAATAAACTTTAATAGTTAATTGCTGTTAATAATTTTAAATAAAAGTAAATTTTAGAATAGTTACAAATTTTGTTGAATCTCGTTTCATATATTGTAGTAATGGTGTTGAAATGTTTTTTAATTTGAGAGAGAGGTTATAAACTCTCGTTTTCATAAAAAATTTAAACAAATCAAGATTTTTAGGAATTATTAAAAATTTAATCTTCGTATATAAAACTATATTGAATCCTAATTTATAGCTTGTCATAAATAATTTTTAAAAAAAAAACGTTGAGCAGAAAACGTATAGAGCAAAGCCAACTTTTATGAGTGCGAGAGAGATAGTCAGATATCACTATTCTTTTCACTCTGATTCTTTACAGGAAAATACATTTTTTTCTATTATTAAGAATATATGTAATCATTTTTTTCTATGATAACCAGAAGTATAACTTTATAAATTAAATCCATAATATACATTTTTTACAACGATAATATAAAAAATTAATAAGAAAGAATTAAAAATTTCAAAAACGAACAATAATAATCGAATACTGGGCAACAGAGGCATAAGTATCTATTAGAACATAGATTTATGACGTCACAAACAAAGTCATAAAATAACAAAGTTTATAATAAAACACTTTAAAAATTAAATTGCAAAACAATTATATGTATACAAAATTCCCACATAGCACAGCATTTTTCAGGAAGTTTACAAAGTAAAGTGTGTAAATTTTCTTTGTATCTACATAATTAACAGGCACAATAATAATCTAGAGTCCCTGGGAATAGGCAACCAAAACAACATATGGGGCATTCTACGCAAAACAAACAACCTAAAATTTCTAATGGAAAATACTTATTTTTTAAAACGCTGCAATTGACAATTAAAATGGATGAAATAAAAAAAAATACGGAACTTTATTATTGTAAATTTAATTCTCTTTAATTTGGTCACTTTGAATTTCAAAATTGTACACATTTTCATTGAAAAAAATAAAAACGAAAGTTTGTGTTTATTTCTATAGACTTTGTACTTTACTTTTTTATAGACTACTTTAAAAATTTTCGAAAATGCCTTAAAAAGTAGTAGAAATTATATAGATTATATGTCTCAAAGGACAGACTGGCATCTTGTATGGTTTAAAAGTTATTTAATATAATACCCCCGCAGCACCGAAACTTTCCTAAAAATTTATTAAATATTTACTTGCAATATTCGGCATATTTAACTGAAAAGTTTAGTGAAAATTGTGTAAAGATTTAAATCTCCCGATTAAATAAATGTTTAGTGTGAAAATTTCCTAAACATTTAAATTACATTTTCGCCTAATTATACAATTATAATTATAACTAGACGAAAATGTAATTTATATGTTCAGGAAAGTTTCGCGCTAAACATTTATTTAATCGGGACCTTTAAATCTTTATACAACTTTCAATAAACATTGCAATTACATATTCCGAACATTGCAAGTAAATATTTAATAAATTTTTAGGAAAGTTTCAGTGCTGTGGGGGTATAAAAACGTGGTGTTTTGCTTTGAAAAGAATCAATTTCTGCGATGAATGGTTAGACGTTTTCGTTTTATAAACAGCAGTAACAAATTTTATGATTACAAATTTCAATAAATTAAAAATTATTATTTTCATTAAACAATTCTATTGTTTTAAATATAAATAATTTCTAATCATCACTGGTCATGTGTGACTTATTTAAACATTATCGTGAACATTGTTGTTTGTGTATCAAAAACATCTAAACTTAATCGAAGTTTAATCATTCCACAGGTTTACAAATTAAAAACTTTTTTTCTCAATCGAACAAAATATTTTTTTTCGAATAATAGGTGTTTTTTGAGTAAGAAGATCATGGTTTTAATTTTTTTCCCTCGTGCAGTTTTGCTGTAGCTTCAAATTTTGCATTTTCGAGGTGCGACGTCACTTAAACTTACCTGTAGGAAAATTAGCTTGTCAAAATAGGGTAAGCGTACCAATTGCCGAGGGTGTCCCATTTGTCGATGTTACCATGGTAATAACCAAAAAATATTGTCTAAAATGTCTCATTTGTTTGTGTATATAATATTAATATATTTTTTTCACATTTATAACGCATAAGAAAATTAATATTTATCACTTTTTTCCATTTACAATGTGCTACAATGTTTAAATAAAATTCAAAGTTTGTTTACTCGACAACAGGAACCATCCTCGACAATTGGTACGTTTACCCTATAATAAATAGGATATCATTGGAAAGGTAATTAATTACACGGAAAAGTTCTTGGGCGAGTCGCTGTACCTGTTGTGGTGGCGCTGCGTGACTAGTACCTATGGTAAAGTGACAGCCCCATTTTGGTAGCTCATTTCACCCACTGAGACTGCTGCTTCCCTACTGTGGGGAGTCAGAGCTCTCTTGTGGGGCATCAGAGCTCTCTTTAGAGAGAAAGCAGAAAACCTTTTCTGTGGGAGGCGAGTGAGAGACGGCTGCTCTCCCATAAACTTTTCCGTGTACCTTTCAATTCATAGATCATAGATAGAGCTGTGCAAAATAATTCGAACCGAACTGTTCGAATTTTTTCGCTTAGTTCGAATGTCGAATATTCGACATTCGAGTTACTACAAAATTCGAACCGAACCGAGTTTTGTTCGGTTTTGGAATGCTAAAATGTCGAATTCTAAAATTCGACATTTCAGTCGCCTAGTTTGAATGTCGAATATTCGACATTCGACATTTCGGCGCCCCAAAACCGAACAAAACTCGGTTCGGTTCGAATTTTGCACAGCTCTAATCATAGAATAAAATTCAACGAAAATTGAGAGAATTACTGTTGATTAAAGATCAAATTTCATGACAATTCTGATGATTTTTAGACATTTGAGTAACTTCTACTATTTTTTTACACATCAAACTGGAAAAAATGTTTAGGTTTTAATCTTTTTATTGATAGACTATATCATTACAAAAATTTTGAGCCGTTGTGGATCTCGATTGGATTAAAAATGCCAATTCTACACTAAATTTTGTGAACGAAACCACTTTCTTCATTTTTAGTATTCCTTCAACATTTGCAGCAAAAATTCAAGTAGTAAAATGTAGTTGAGCGCTAAAGTTACTAAAATCACTAATCAAAGGTTTCTGAAGTCGCAGATTTCGAATCTAATGTCAGTTTTTCAAATTTCAAAATGCCTGATCCAATATGGCGGACAAGTTTTTAAAAATCGATTAAATTCGTCTTAAATTTGTTACTCGAGAGTTTGCGGGGTCGCTGATTACGAATCCGATGCTAAATTTCAAAACTTCAAAGAGGTGGATTCAAAAGATGCGAATTCGATGGATTTTTAAAAAACTCGTTCACCACTATGAATCCATCATTTTCAATTCTCGAAATCTGACATCAAATTTAGTGTAGAATTTATTGTCCTTTTTAATCCAATCGAGATACACAAGGGCTTAAATGAACGCTCCCAAATGTTCTGTGAGAATTAAATTATTTAAAGAAAAATTTTTATGTAAAATGATTTTAAAATTCAATTGTTGACAATTTAACACTCTGCCTACTCGTGTGACCGTTATCGTCTAAAATCGTCTATTTAAACTCCTGGTGGGGACTGTGGGAATTACATTCAAAAGGGCTAGAGTGGGGATAAGTCAGCGTAGGCAGAGGGTTAAATTTAATATTTAAAAAAAAATCAACTGAAAAATTTTTAAAAACTAACTTCTTCAGAATTTTTTAATTATTAAATAGAAGTTAAATTATTTGAAACTTAAATTTTTTTAAAAATTTGGTAATTCTTCTAAAATTCGATTTATTTATTTGTGTACAATTCTCGTAGGCTCATAATTGGGTATCTTTACATAATCTATTATCGTATATGTTGCATTCCACCTCAAGTGATTCGGGTCCAAATTTGAAATGTTTGGGATCAGGTTAAAAATTTGCACAAACAGTCCTATTAGATACAATGAAAAATACCGAATATTATTAATTTATTTAAACAAATGTAAAAACTGGAGGGAGTCAAAGTTTAAATTTTTGGTCTTACATGGAATATTTGAAAAATTTGTAGTTTCTTTAAAACAGAACGAAAAGATGTTTTCTGTTTTGGGTTTTTTTTTTGCTGTTTTTCAGCTCTTTCTAATGGTATAAATAAATTTTTGAAAAAAATTTTTGACCTTGAAAAATTCATTAAAAAAATAAATTTTATTTTTTTATCAAATGAACATTTTTATTTTTTTTAAATGTTTTCTTAAATGCGAGGTTTTTTTCTAAACAAAATGTGTAAGTCAAAACGTGGGAGAAGAACTTTTAACTATAGTCAAAATAAACATTTACTTCTGCAGTGCACCGGCACTGCGTGTTGTTGGGCTGTATATATTATTTATAATTATAACAATTGAAATAAATTATTTTATGCTTTATTAATTATCTGGTGGTCATATTGGATAAATTTGAATTGATTTAGATCATGTGCAGCAACGGAATAAGAAAATATTTAAGAATTTATTCTCCTTTAATTTAAAATAAAAAACACTCAAATCGGTTAAAAATTGTAAGCTGTAGACATTTTTTAACAGTAAATTGTAAAAGAATTCCACTGTGGGTCGGTGCACTGCAGAAATAAATGCTTAATTTGACCAGTTAAAAGTTCTTGTCACACATTTTGACCT